TCCCATTGATACCGCCATACAGCCGCCCTCTAAGGGGCCAAAGAACAACAGAGGTACGAAAATGGTAACAGGCCGTGAAAACTCTCCGTCGCCATCTCCGCGCCATTCTCAGCATTGATATTGCTCGCTAATATGCGAGCATCTTCGGAGATTGATGGAGCAAGCGCTTCGGTGATGGCAGCTGCAAGACCAGCTGCTGTAAGCGACTTGGCCGGGATAGGAGCTGATGCAACGCCAGCCTCAGCAACGACCCTGCCCCAGAATGGCTGATCATTAAGGAATGGCACTACAACTGAAGGTTTACCTCTGGCAATTGCAGCAGCCGTGGCCCCAGCACCACCATGATGAACCACACAAGAGACGTACTTGAAAAGCCAGTTGCGAGGACAGTCATCAGTTTGGTCAGCTGCCTCTGCAACCCTAGAGTGATCCTCTTTGGTGGAGTAAATGCCTCTGATTGCTCCGTCCAGGTTCCGTTTGACAATCGGAATCGATCATTCTATCGGCGGTTTTGGATGTCTTCTGCACTTAGCCTCAGAGTACTGGCTGTTCTGGCCCAAATTCCGCCGGCAGAGAATTTGATTCCCTGCCAACTCATATTACGGGTATACTTCTTGTTTGTGTGTACTTTCGAGGCAGGATGAGGCATCAAAACGAAATCACGCTTCCAACCAGGAAAACAGTAGATACACCAGATGGAACAAAATGTCCCAGGTGTTTTCTAGCCTCAGGGCGCTGACGCGGCCGCGGGACACTGTCCTGCCGTTCATAGCAGGGCTCTGATTCCATTATTAGGACGTGGCATACAAACTTAGGGTCAAGTGTAGAGGATCTATTGTACGGGGAAAAGGTAGCACTCCAATCACGATCTTAGAGCCCGCTGGCGTTCCACGTGGAAAGCAATGCATTGTATGGAACAAGTAAGGCAGATTCGTGAAGGTGTGTGGATGGTGAAGTGAAGTCGCGTCGAGTTCGGTCTTAAACTTTGGTGGCGCAGAGCCAACCTGGTTGGGCATAGCTTACTCAAGCTCAGATCAGATTGCTCTGGATGGAGTTTAGCCAGATGGTCAGGACTCGGCGTCTATTGGCTCATACTGATTGAAAGCAGCAAAACACCACGCCCATCGGACCCAGCTCCTTAAAAAGATGAAAGCTGTCCAGGCTGGCAGGAGGAGAATCTCCGCTTCTTCGATGACGAGGCTCACCGAGCAAACCCTAATTTCATGATGGCAATGCAGTTCAGAAGGATACTTCCAGCAGTGCTGCATGTTTAGTGTAAGAACCTAACAGCATAAATACTGCCAAACCCCCACGAGAAGGGAGCAGAAATTGGACCAAAGTCTGCCATTTCCAAAGATGAAGATCTTTTCACTTGTCATGAGCGTTGGAAGCCTCGCACACCCTGCCCTTGCCTTGGACACCAGAGCTATAGATAGGTCTCGTGTTCCCTTCTCATCAGGTTTCCGCCAGCCAGAGCCGCCGATGGTCGAGCCGGAGTTCAGAGCAAATTGGAATCAGCATAAGTGGTAAGCACTCTTCGGAGCAAGTCTTTTCTTTCTCCCTGCAGCTTGCTGAGACATTTCATGACAGGGACGCTAACGTATCCCACATTGCCTCCGGCTTCGTTTACAATTCCCCCTCGCAACGGAAAGTTCGCGTCGATGAGGCATATGACTCCACATTTGGTTCCTCGCTGTTGGACTACAACAACGTCACGCAGGAAGGCGTAGCCAACCGATTGTGGACTCTGAGTCCTGCCATCACCTCGCCGCCGGCATGTTTTGAGGGCTTCACCAATCCAGCTTTCCCTCTCATCTCCGCGGATTTTCTCGTTGCGAACAACGCTATCTATGGAGGCGAGGTGCATGATGCGCTTGCAGGAAAGGTGTCTTCCGTAAGTTGCACAGCCTCATCCATCCCACGAAGCAAATGCCATTCTTTCTCACTGGTTGCCTTTTTGATAGTGGGACATCCTGTATCAAGGAGCCATACCGGTGACAGTCCTTCTCGGCGAGGACAACATCATTCAGGGCTACGATTTCGTTGGTCCAGAAACGCGAGCACGTGCCATCACCAGGTTCTTCAACATCATCGTTGGCCCAGTCGGTAGGGAAGTGTTTGAATTTCCGTGCTAGTAGTCATTTCCTACCAGATCAGGCAGATGTCATCCTCAGAAAGTGCAGACCAGAGGCAGATAGCACACCAATATGGTGAAAGGACTAAGCTTCTTTGGAATGTGGAAGGAGGGAAAAAGTAGCCATGATGCTGAGTCGAGATCCATAGAACAACCGTGTTATAATGCCAGGTTAAGAATGTGCACTAGGTGTATTATGTGCGCTTTGATCGCCCATTAACTCATGCATTGTGATTATGCTTGAATCAGCAACACAGTAGTGGGTGACATCTCATAGCTCAATGATCTCGTTCCACATATCCCAATTGCGCTCATGCTCCCAGGATACTGATCCACAGAGCATAGCCTCCACATTTTTGCAACGGCTGAACATGACCGTAGCGCAAGGGACGGACTCTTCATCATCCTTGGCTTCAACATGGATGCCGGTTCCGTGCACCCGATCACTCTCAGTGATATGTTCTGGTAGAATTCGCTCCGTAAGGGGTGGTCGATGTGTACTCTCCTCAATCGTAATGGTCCTACTTGCTATCGCTGCGAGCAATTTGCCATCGAAAGGGCCTTCCCTGCCAGATCGCCGAAGAAGATCGATGGCTTGCCGACGCCAGTCTCCATGCCGGTACTTAGTCGCAGTGAAGAAGAGTGGCTGAACAATGCCTGGAGAAGGACGGAATTGCCGGAGCGCAGAAGGTGTCCCGGAGCCCTGGGCGAGAACTACCGCTGCATCTTGGACGATAGATTGAAATCGTGGACGATGGAGATCGTAGCTACATTCGTGCGCGCTGAGTACTGTGGAGAGGTAGATAAGAGTTGACAGGCACTGCGTTCGAAGAACAAGGGCATGACAGTAGTCTTCTGGTAACAGCTTATGGCTCGAGTCAGGCTGATTGAGCAGAAAATCTTGGTTGAGGCTGTCGAGCCAAAGGGAAAGGTTTGCTATGTGTCGACCCTGTTCAAGAAGGAGATCTGACGGAATTGCAGCTCGGGAAAGGTATTTGAATTGTGATGCGTGCGCTGTAAAATGATAGCAAGAGTGAATGAGCCGCACCAGCTGTGTTGCAGCCTCATTTACATTTCGTATACTTGACGAAACGTGTGGCTGACACTGAAGATGTGAGACGCTTAGCTCGGGTGGTTGTCCCAAGGCATAACTTGCTTTCTGGATGTCTAGCGTCATGAACATAAGGCTGAGATTGTCTTCAAGAGGAGTGGCAGTAGTAGCCTCAAGAGCATTGGATCTATTAGGATCTGCGGCATCAAGAACTTTTGCCTTTGTCAAGACTTCTTCTCGGCTACGTAATAGTCTCAGGGCTCCTTGCAAATGCATAAGGGCATTGTATTGCCGACATCGAAGGAGCTCAGCAAATCCTAACAGCGCGCATGCCAAAAGTAGTGGGACTGGTCCATAGAGCTGATGTGCCACATCTTGCTGAACATGGCGAATGGCATTGCCATACTGCAGTGCAGCTCTCCGCTTACTTATTGAGGATGATCCACCTGTTAACACTATTGCCTCGTAGAGGGCACCAAAGGCTGCGGCTGCCGCGTTGACAGAGGGAATTGCAGTACTCAATTGTGGCAGAAGCTTGTGCCATATCGATAAGCCATAGCCCATGTCCCGGAAACCTTCCTGTTCAAGAATGCAGCATCCGAGCCGTGCAAGTCTCTCCTGCTCCGGTCGCTTGCGAAAGCCATTTGGTATACCAATCCAGAATTGGATATCTGCAGCCTCAGATGAAGGAGAGGGAGAAGCTCTATCCATGAGCTGTGCAGCCGACTGGCCAATCTCTTGAGCAGATGCAGAACTTGTTGTGGTTGGATAACCCTCACATTGCCGTTGGGACAGCCTGCAGCGATTACAAGTCGGCTGTGCCTCATCACATTTTATGCGACGAGCTCTGAAAGAATTGAGATCATGTCAGGTCAGGGGCTGAATGGACCGGACTGCAGAGTCGTACTAACTTGCACGTGAAGCACCCTTGCTTTGACTGGGCCTTGTGCAGCCGTCGTGTCATTTTTCGCCCTTCTTCTGTGGCCATAATAGAATAGTGAAAGGTTTTCTCACCGACATAGACTCTAAGAATAGAACTGGGTATGGCGCTTGATATGGTCACTTAAGCTTGTGTAATAAACAAAACAGCCATGTCAGGCACGAAAGTCGGTCCCTTTATGGCCATATGGTCTTCCCATGTATCTGACTGTCCAAGGTACCACTTGGTTCAGCCAGACTCGATGATATGGGAGCTATGACGATGCAGGAGTTCACATGCGACCTAAGCATTGCAAAGAAACTTATTGGAGCCTGAATCTGGACCATGAATGCCAAGGCTGGTAGCTGCTCGATTAGGAAAGTATAGCCAGCCATCGTGTACCCGAGGCAGTGCTGCTGCTAGTTAGTACCACAGTGAACTATTTACGGACCTGGATATCAGGGTTCTCTTGGGTGTTCCGTCGCAGGCTGATCGTGATGACTTGTAGTCTTGACACGACGTTCTTATGTAAAGCACTCACCTTCATCTTCCCCCTCCTTGCTTACCGCTCCACGCATTAACGAAGCCGCGATGCTCCCACCATTCGATTATTTTGAGCACCGAAGAGCATGGTAGAACTGACGATGTTACAGTTTATTGCGCTGAGTAAAACTAACTATCTGCAGTCAATTCAAACAGAAAGAACGCGCGGCGCGCATAGCTTCTCTTCCTGAACCCTACAGAAGCCCTGTCACTTCTTCTGATCGTGTGTTCCTTTCGCGACCCATTTCCGAGCTCGTACGTGACGTCCATAGACACATTCTCCAACCGATCGAGATACTACGTACCTATGGCAAAACAGCAGTACTCGCTCATAAAAAGACTAATTGCGTGACGGAGTTACTCGTACCGGAGGCAGAGAAATGGGTGCAAGACGGCGAAATCAATTTCGCGGGCCCGCTTGCAGGCATACCTGTCAGCTTGAAGGATAGTATCGCTGTTGGTGGTTTCGATGTCACAGTCGGATACTCAAGAAACGCCGGAAAGCCATATCCTAGCGATGGAGCTTTAGTAAGGCTACTCAAAGATGCAGGGGCAATCCCTCATGCAAAAACCGCCGTTCCCATAACCCTTCTCTCATTTGAATCTAGCAATGACCTCTGGGGTACTACGAAGAATCCTCATAATACCAAATATTCGCCAGGCGGCTCCACCGGTGGTGAGGCCGCGCTTCTGGCACTTAATGGCAGTCGCATAGGTATCGGCAGCGATGTGGCAGGGAGTGTCAGGGTTCCGGCAGCATGGTCGGGAATCTGCAGCTTGAGATGTAGCACTGGAAGATGGCCCAAGGTAGGCATGGACACATCGATGCCTGGTCAGGAAGGAGTACCTTCTGTCTTTTCCCCAATGGCACGCACCCTTGACGATCTCACGTACTTCACGAAATCTATGATTGAGATGCGGCCATGGAAGTATGATTATACTGTTCATCCAATCGAATGGCGCGAAGAAGAATTCAGGGCGGTTTCAGGAACAAGCGAGAAGAAGCACCTGAGAGCCGGTCTGATGCTGTCTGACGGAGTAGTGCCACCGGCCCCAGCAATCGTAAGAGGCTTAAGAATGACTGCCTCGGCCTTAGAACGAGCTGGCCATACAGTCAAAGAAATTCCTATCTCTAGCTTTCCCCCGGCAGCAACACCTGCATATGGACTGCAGCTTGCCTCCACCCTACTGACCTCAGATGGCTGCAAAACATTCCGATCCTTCTTCCGGACCGGAGAAAGATCAGACCCTGGAGCTGCTCAACTGTCCTTTTACATGTCCTTGCCACAATTTTTGAGGTGGTTATATTATGCCTACGTACGCTATATCAAGAAGGACCATCTTTGGGCAAGTCTGTTGCGCTCCTTCGGTCCTTTGACCGCCGCACAGAATTGGCAATACGTTGCGAAGCGAGAAGCATTCCGTGCAACTTGGTTTGACTGGTGGGATGATGAGGACCAGCAGTTTGATTTTATCTTATGCCCTGCCAATGCGACTCCCGCTCTCCCACATGGTGCGATGCATGATGCGGTCTCCTCGTGTGGTTATACCTTCTTATGGAACCTTCTGGACTACACGGCTGGTGTTCTACCGGTAACGAAAGTCGATGCAATCAAAGATGCGCTGAACCCGGAATGGAAGCCACCCAATGGCGTCGCCAAGGGAGCTTACAAGCACTATGACAGCGTTGCTATGGAAGGGTTGCCCTGCGCTGTGCAGATCGTTGGCAGGAGATTGCAGGAAGAGAAGATTTTAGCATGTATGAATGTGGTTGAAGGCGCCCTGAAGGCAGATGGAGTGGAGTATGAGCACCTGGATATTGATTGAAAAACGTGCTCTACCCCCAAATCGGGTGCTCATTATCGTATTGGCCAACATATGATTCGTCGATGAGAATTTAAGCTCAAAAGCATTGGCACAGCCACAACTAGCCTCTGCTTTTCATGAAACACCAGCAATCGCAGCCGTGCTGTCAAGGATCACTCTGTAAGTCAATGACGGCGAGCCTCCGTAACCATGGATCTCTGTTTCCACGTCTTAACTTCTGCTGCTTGGGAGCCTGACCATCTCTAGCGGACCCAAAGAACTCTGTACCATGTAGGTGACGCCATGGTACTTCGTGATGAGTGAAACACCGGCCTAATAAGCTATAGAAACGATCAATGTGGGTTCGCTTTGCTGACTCGGGTGGTGATTCTTTGGCTCCTGGGGCTTTCTCTTGGTTGCTGTCATTGCGTCTCTCAGCCTTCTTCACATAGTGTACAAGGCGATCAGCTTCGGTAGAAAGTACCACCATAATCTTATAGTAGGTCACTGAACGGGGGCAGCAGCTGGGCTGCTTTGCTCTTCATATGGATGACTCTGCGCTGAACGAAAGCGAGGTGAGTGCCGAGGAGGGATGATGTACTGTCTAGTAATCAGGTACTGTGTGTACTACGTATGGTAAGTTACTATATTTACGCATCGTAAATGGTAAATGATCGATGGAAAGCCCAATTTCATTGTACCACAGCTGCCTCGCCAATTCTTCACCTTCCACACCTCCACCATGACATGGATCTGCATATTCTCTCACATACTACAAGTACTACCTACAAGTACTACCTCAACTTCGAACTTGGTGGCCGCTTCAAACCTTCTACTCTTCCGGCCATTTGCAGGGTCTGCTTGTCAACTTGTCCCCACCCGATCGTCTCTGTCTTACTACTGAGCGTCGTCCGTCATACGATAACTGGATCCTTGTACCAAGCTGAAACGAAACATCCTTGCTCACTTGGGCTCCTGTTTCCGGTTTAAGAGGGGCCTTCCTAGTTCATACGAGTAACAACTCAGGTGGCACAACTGGCCTTATGTAAGGCGGTCTACTGGAACTCCATGCTCGTCGCTCGTTTGGTCGCAGAGGCAGTTCTACATTCGTTCAACCCTAACTTATCCACTTCGCTTCGCCTTGGCCGCCATCTTCCGTCACCGCCATCCAACGTTTTCGAGCTGCCGGACCTAATGTGTCTCCCTTTCCTCCCCGATCGACTTTTCCACAGTCCCGATACGGATCAAGAGGTGGTTGCATTGGCGTGAAGTTTTATCTGAAAGGCAGCAGAAGGCTGGTCGCTTGGGGCAGTCTCTGTGTCGTGCCCTTGAAGGTTGCATGGATGATCATGATGGGCAATGGACAACGTACGGGTCATTTGGAGGAGGTGAACAACCCTAAGGGATTCGGTCGAGGTTCTGGACGAGGTACACCCGATCGACCTCTCAAGTGTCGGAGTGCCTTCCAAGATCAATTAGTCCAGATGCCCATGAAAAATGCCCTGTCCAGCTTGTGGAGGTTTTGCTCCTCTGGCGCATTATCCTCTTCACTGGTCCTGCTTTCCCTCTCTTTCATTTTCTTCAGCCCTGCAGGAGCCGCTTTTCTTGCCTTCGAGAATTGCCTTTCGTCTGCAGTGCAAAACTCGCGCGACCCTAGATTTCTTCAATTTGAGCCATTTCGGTTTTGGGTGGCCCTTGACACTACGCATCCAGACCATACGCTGAACGTCACCACCTACGGGAATATTACTGGCGTTGCGACCAACGAGTCATATCCAAGCTGGAACAATGATACATGGTTCAATTCCAACGAGACTTTGGGCAAGATTGTGGACTTGAGCCCCACCAACAATAAATATTCTACTCTCTTCGCCTCGTTCAATGTGCTCAGCTATACGCAATACGAGGCACCCCCGTCCAGATTTTGCGACGCAACAGTGGGCCAACAATGTCCACTGATCCCGGCGTTCAACGGCAGCTCCAGTGACATCACATCTCTTCCAGGTTTCTCGGTCGTCCATGCCTTGGACTCAACTTATGCCTTTACATCCATTTCTACCACCCTTCGTGTTACTTCGGGCGATGCTAGCAACGCAAATCTCGCCTGTGTGTCAGCAGTTGTCACTCCCGATCTGGGCCCTTCACTTCGAAACATTCTCACCTATTTACCGCTAGTCGTGCTCCTATCTGTCGGCTTCGCTACCGTCTTCGCCGCCATGTTCAGCCCTTGGGGTTCATTGGACACATTTCATTGGACTAGTAATTGGGGCAGAGACGAGGACCTAATCAGACTGGTCACTCCCGGCTTTGCCGACTGTCTTCAATACATCCAATTCATTGTTCTCACTGGCAGCTTGACTCTCAATTATCCAGGCTTCTTCCGACCGGTCGTCAGCTCTGTCGGATGGTCAGCATTGATGTTCAATGAGAGCTTCGTCACCAACGGCGACGGTACGCAGAGTGTCCAAGATGGCATCTACGTGGTTGATACGGATGGCACATATGGTCTTGATCAGATGAGCCAGCTCATCGGGATGACCTCGGTGCGTGACATTTGGGCTGGCATGATAATCTGGCTGCTTGTCATCATTGCAGCAGTCGTTGCTTTGATCCAAATTGGTTTCCTGCTTCGGTGGGCATACCGTCTTGCGGCTAATGTGCCACAAGAGGATCTTAGGAAGAAGAACTGGCCCTTCACGGCTGGAAACATCCTTCGTATTGTCTTCAATTTCTTCATTCTTCCTCTCATCTCTTTATCGATGTTTCAATTAGTCGCGGCTGCTGAGGGACCAACTGCTGGAGTGATCTTCGCAGTATTCGTGTTGGTAGTTGTTGTCGGCTTTGCTGGCTGGCTTACCTACCTTATTGCTACCATTCGGCCACGATCTTTCCTATTCGACGACCTACCAACTGTCCTGACGTATGGACCATTGTACAATACTTACTCGGACGAAGCTGCGAGCTTCGCCATCATTCAGATCTTCATCAATCTGGTCCGTGGTATCGCGATTGGTGCTGTTCAACCTTCGGGAATTGCCCAGCTTGTCCTTTTGGCTATTTGCGAAATCATTCTCGGCCTGACACTCAACGCCATTCGTCCTTATCCAGCTCCAACTTCGATGAACATCTTTCATACCTCCTTCGCTATCCTCCGCGCAATCACGATTTTTCTCAGCGTTGCATTCGTCCCGTCGCTCGGGGTGGCGGAGGCGCCTCGCGGCTGGATTGGTTATATTATTCTTCTCCTGCATGCGGTTGGTCTTGTGTTTGGTTTCTTCCTCAATGCTCTTCAAACAGTAGTCGAAGTCGCTGCTCGGCTCGCAGGCGCTGGTGGACACGGGATTGGCGCAACAAGAGGAGGTCTGACGAAAGTCTTTGGCATGCGACAGCTTCAAAGGCGTTCATCAAGACGAGACAACACTTCACATAATAGTATGGCGTCAGGCGTTGCCATGCTAAGCCCGGAAATTGAACAGAAGTCTCTGCACTTCGACCACGGACGGGCCAGAAGTTTGTCTGCAAGCTCCGCCATTCTCTTACAGCGGAATGGAGGGAGCGATGGCCGCAGCAGTATTCAAGGATCGGGCAGTGGTGTCAACGTACACCATCGAGCAAGTCAAAGTGGACAGTTCACACCAGAAGCAGGAAGTACGTTTTCCAAAACAGCCAGTGCACATCGACTACATGGCGCGCCTGCGGCTATACTTGGCTTGAAGCAAGTTGACGTGTCAGATCCATACTATCGCCCCCCGAGGCACCGGCGAAACACTGTTGACCTGATCTCTCCTACGGCGCGCAGCCGTAACTCTCTGGCAAGTGGAGAGATTCAAGATGTGCAGAATGATGCCGACAAGGGATCAGAGGAAAATGCTGGGGTAGGGCCCTCGATATCAGGTCGTGTTACACCAATACAAGCGCATGCAGACAATGATGACTATGATGACTTGAGTCACGAACTCAATGGTAACAAGGCAGACTATTACGCGTCGAGAGAGGTCGATTATTACTATGGTGTTCGTGGGCCAGCGTTGTCCAGCGGTACCAGGAGACTCAAAACTGGCCCAGCCGACCCAACCGGTCCAGTCTCCTCAGCCACGGGATGGTTCAGAAATTTATTTGGCGGCAAGACAAAAGAGAAGGGCAAAGGCTTTGAAGTTGTGCGAAGTGCTCGAGCGCCTTCTCAAGGCTTGATGCCTGTGCCAGGCAGGACCGCCATAGGCCCAGAACCGTACCGAGACAGCCCTACAGATTCGCAATATGCCGATAGATGTAACAGCGAGCCTCCTACGAAGAGTGAAGGAGATGTGGTAGGGCCCAACGTGTTTGTCGAGCCTTACTCTGATGATGTGTCTGAGGAAGATCTGATCCCAGCTCAGAAGCGTTCTCCCATCGCACCATCTCTACCTGCAATTGACGCTGGTGGAGATATCGAATTGCCAAGTCGAGTAAATTCTCGCGCATCGCGCGTATCTGGCAGCGTATCTGACGGCCCACCTCGAGCTCCATATGTTCCGAGGAGGAGCTCTAAACGAAAGTCTGGTCAAGTGGCGGCAGACTTTCCAGCAGCGCGGCTGTCAACCGTGGCAGCATCACCTCCGTCATCACCGCAGAAACCTCGCGGTCCTGGGCACAAGCACTTGACTAGCACTGGCTCAACCTCTGGTCGGTTACCATTTGGGGTGCGTAACTCGCCTTCCAAGAGCAGTCGTTATTCTGCTGGTGCAGAGTCAACAGCGTCCAGCATTGGACCCTTGGGTGACGAAGAAAATCAGGTGCCTTCCTTCACTCATGCAAGGCATTCGTCCTCTGCATTGGGGCAACATGCGCCAGATATCAAGGAGGACCGCCCGTCGAGTATGGGATATGTGCCACAGCATCGAGCAAGCGACAATATCCGCAAGGTGGACTCAGGCTCGTCTGAGTTTGAAGGAAGTACAGCTGAATTTGTCGGTACTCCAACCCGGCGTGCTGGCCTGGGCTAATGCATAAGCGATCATCGGCATCGGCACTGGCACTTGGTTTGGTGACAGGTTCCTGGCGTTGGGCAAGGATTCTAAGCATTTGGGGAAGCGACATAACGTAGCCCTAAGGCCTATAGGAGACTTCTGCGCGAGGAGTTTGGGGGCACAACATCTGCAACATATGTGTGTTCTAATCCCGCGATCATTGATCATTCCTTTTCATGTAACATACTTTTCGTGCCTACATAGTATACACCTGGCTCATGTGCTAGTGTGGCAAAGCAACAATGTGAATGAAAGAAGTACGAATGCTGTGATCTCTAGAATTTCCTTCAACAAATCACATCTTTGACTGTCCCACCCGGATTTGCTCAGAATGGAGGCGTGTCTGTCGTGTAACCCCAGAAGCCTGGACTGGGCTCCGGATGGTCCTCTGGTTCTGACCTGGGGCAGATCCCCGAGATACACAAGCTCCTCCAGGTTACGCCTGGCAATGATCTGCTGAATTCAAGTTGGGGCCCAAAAGGTATAATACGCGAACTGGGGATGCTTGGGGTTGGCCCTGCATGCAAGTGCTGCCACCATTCACCATTCGCCCCTGCGCCCCTGCACAGAGTCGAGAACATCAGCAGCAGCTTATGCACCTGTCATGGACACTCTGGACACACTCTTTAACGAGATTAGCCTGCATAAGGTTGACATGCAGCTTGACTGCGTCTTGACATCCACCTTTCCGTTTGAAGTCTTATATCCTTGATATTACTCCGTATAAGTTGAGTATTTCCACGAATACTTACGCGACCCACCATCTTACCAACCTTGTCTGACATTACGACCACATCACAGTCTCTTTCCAACCGCATAACTGCATGAACGGATGTTGCCACAGTGGCTTGCGAAAAGGCCCAGTACAGTAGTCTAGCGTACAACGCATTATATTTGCGATGAGGATTGTGCCTGCACTTCTTTCGAGGAATCCTTGAAACGTGTCAGGGCAATTACAAGCCTAGGTCTCCCTTTCGCCTGACACAAAACTGTTTCCAACCTCTTGATGTCGTCCTTGGCATCTTCAGCAAGCTCATCAAGGAGCGATACAGAGTTTAATTCGCCTCCCCTCGAGCGGAGAAGACGGCTGAGCTCGCGCGGCTCCGACAACGACCACCAATATGACCCTCAACGATATCAACAGTTATCGCCAATCTCGGTGAATGGAGGGGAACAGGTTGGATCTGGAAACGCAGCCGGCTTGCAGACAAGAGATTTGGATGGGCAGACATCGCCAGAACCACACAGGGATAATATCACGAGTCATGGGATAGATGAACCATGGGCTCAAATCGCTCGTACGAGTCAATCAAATGTGGACAGGAAGAGGAGGCTTACCAATTCTGCTCATAATTCAGGAAGAGTGAGGACCGTCAGTGGTGGCTTTCATAGCCGGAATCAAAGCTCCTACACTTCGCAGCCAGAAGGGTCCGCATCCGCGGATTTATCCCAGGTGCACCGGCATGGTCAAACATTACAACATATCTCATCAAAACCAAGCTCTGTAGAGAGGGCGCTGCCGGCACTCCCTCCCATACGTCGTCATTCTAGCAACATGCGGCAGTCGTTGACCAAGGGTCGAGAAATTATGTTGCCCAAGTGGCAGCCGGATTCAGAGGTCTCTGGGTGTCCAATATGCTCGAGGCAATTCACATTCTGGTTTCGGAAACACCATTGCAGAAAATGTGGTCGGGTTGTCTGCGCCAACTGCTCTCCGCATCGAATCACCATTCCCCGACAGTTTATAGTCCATCCACCCGAGTCTGCGCAGAGTGAATCTACTATTGGCCGAAGCAATTCTCTCGTAATCGACCTGACGGGTGAAGATGGATCTTCGGCTCGTCCAGAAATACAGCCAACATGGATCAATTCACAGCGAATGTCGAATCCTGGCCTTGGTGGGGGAGAAGAGGTCCGATTATGCAACCCTTGCGTTCCAGACCCTCAACCTAGTCGACATGCCACGATGGATCTTGCAGAATTTCTGCGTCAAGGTCGCACGCAGAACGAGGCCGGAACAACTCTGCAGCAACCGCAACGACGTCGGTCGCTGCATCTCGACTCCGGCCAGTCCAGTCTATACAGCCAGCATTTGCCGTTGAGCGAAGCGAGAGAATTACGACGTCAAAGGGGACGGGGGATGATAGTATGTGCAGATTGAGCGGATTTGACCAGGGCACTAATAGCGTTCACAGTTCCAGCCTGCTGGCGAGGACCTGAACACCATCCAGACCAGAGCAGAAGAGATTCCTGATGAAAGCCTCCCAGCGTACGGAAATTTCAACTACACCGTCATCCCCAGTTATGGCAGACGGGACGGTCCTCCACGCTATCATTCCAATCTTGGTCCGACCTTCTCGCCCCCAGGATATACCTCTGTTGGGACGAGCGCAGCATCAGCGCACAGCCGTGAACGGCCCCATTCTGGACCTCTATTGCCTGTGAGCAGATCCTGGTATAGGCCAATGGTAGTATTGCTAACAATTCATGTACAGGGCACCGCATCTGCTCATCTGTCCCGTTCCAACTCGAACCATTTGCCAGCACACTCTCGATACTCATCCATGGATGCCATGTCGAGAATGACATCTTCTATGAGCAACCGACCTCGAGTAAGATCGATGCTTGATGCAGATCCAGGATTCCGACGTTTCATGGACCAGATGTCATCCTCAGCCTCTGCTCGGCCTCATCATCCTCCCGGGCCACGATTACAAGAAAGTGATATCTGCCCGGTCTGCCGCGATGCTTTGCCTTCCATAGGTGCTGACGGTGATGAAACGGCAAGGGAAGCTCATGTCATGGAATGCATCGCTGCTCGGGACCCTTCATCGCCAGGCTCGACGTCATCAAGACGACGATCTATGGCGCATTCTCCGTCGACAGCACTTGTTCGAATGTTGCCATTTACAGCTTCCGAGAAGGATTGTGTCGGCGAAGACGGCACGACTCAGGAATGCTCGATCTGCTTTGTCGAGTATGATGTGGGAGATCAGCTGGCGAGGCTGGAATGCCTGTGCAAGTTTCACAGGACATGCATAGTGGAATGGTTCTCTAGGAAGCAAGAGTGCCCGGTGCATAAGATTGCTTGACCTCTGCCTGCTTTACATGGGTTATCTCCAGTGCAAGTTGGAAGGTGGAAGGTGGATGGACCATTTCTGGGCTGCAAGCGACGCGAAGACTCTCGGCTTAATCTATTTGCAGTTATATGTTATATAGCCACACTCTCTGCCTGGTGCCGATTTAAAGATGGCGCTGTAAGAAGTGGCCCCTAACTCATGTACTACGTACTAGGTACTGCGTACTGCGTACTACGTAAGCCCACAGGCTGTTCATCGTTGAGGCTCTGCCAAAGGATCCGGCCATGGTCACGTGGCCCAACAGACGACCAATTAGGGAAAGCGCTGAGGTAGATCGTAGATTGTGATGTTCGATGTTCCTGAAATGATTCACATGGCCCTCATCCATCGTGCTTCATGGTAATGACTAAGGATAATAGATTTTGGACCGGTCGAATGCTTACTTTACCCGCTGCCGCCACGGAGATCTTGTCCTTGTCAGTGCGTTACCCTTCAAAGTCTGCAGGAAAATAAAGGACAGCCGGTCCCTTGCAACTCCGCGATCGGACGTCAACTCCCCGAATCACCGCCACCGTCAGTCTTGCCTGGTGTTTCGCCGTGAACTCGCCAGCCATGGAGGGGATCGACCCTCGCCTGCGCGACACAGCTCCAGCTCCAGCTCCACAACATTACGAGCAACATCAACGGCCAACCGTCAGCTACGACAGAGGAGCGAGTCAAAGTACAGGGTACGACGCGTTGCCGCAATCCAGTACAACCACGTCAGCAGGCCAGTCTCAACAACACCCATACTATGGCATGCCCACGCCGGGATCATACTCAAGCAATCAACATCAAGATGCAAGTGCTAGTCCATACGACATCCAGGCACCCCAAAACTCAGCTGATCCCAATGACCTGAAACGTCCTCGAGCTTGTGAAGCATGTCGCCAGCTCAAGGTCAGGTGCGAACCAGACGATAATAGCCCAACGGGTTCATGTCGGAGATGCGCCAAGGCCAGTCGGCAATGCGTCGTCACCGCTCCGAGCAGGAAGCGACAAAAGAAAACTGACAGTCGGGTTGCTGAGTTGGAGAAGAAGATTGATGCTTTGACTGCCACGCTTCATGCTCAGCAAGGACCAGAATCTGGTGACACCTCTATCGATCCTGCTATCGCTCAAGCTCAGATGGCAGAGTTGGAACATCAGCGTGGCCAGGTTTATCAGCAACAGCCGTGGCCGGACAGATCGAGAGACGGTCCTGGCCGCAGGGAGTCGAACAGCCTATCGTCTCCGGTCGCTGCAGAGGGGCTGACTGGCTGCAAACGCAAGATCAAGAATGAGGGAGACCTATACAACACAGGACATCAGGCTGATCAGCAGCAGATGCAGAGCAAGATAGTGCCAAACCCTCCACAGCTTGCGACTTTGTTTAATCAACACCCTCCTGCCGCTAAGGAAATGAAGGAGAATGCCTATATCGATGTGATTGACCGCCATATCGTTGATGCCGCTACAGCGTATCGCATGTTTGACCGCTACAATACTGAAATGAAGACCCTGCCAATCGTCGTATTTCAACCAGGCACCAAAGCTGAGGACATCCGTCGATCAAAACCGGTCCTGTTTCTGTCAATTCTTTCAGCTGCCTCCAACACAATCCGGCCAGATCTACAACTGACATTCGTAGAGGAAGTGATGCGAGTGCTCGCAGATCGTGTCATCGTTCGTGGCGAGAAGTCAATGGAGATAGTTCAAAGCTTACAGGTAATCACAATCTTCTATCAGCCGCCGGAAAGATATGACGAATTAAACTTCAACCAATTGGTTCATATTGCTGTGGTCATGGGCATAGATCTTGGGATGGGCAAGCGAACTCGAGCTGGACAAGTTGCATGGCGAGAGCACATGAGTAAGGCGGCGCATACGGACCCCGATGCAGCAGAGACAAGGCGCGCCTGGCTGGGATTGTATTTCATGTGTGCCAATGCCGCTATGGCGTTTCGTCGGCCTTTGCTGGTCCGCTGGTCACCGTATATGGACGAGTCTTTGGAAGTGCTTGCAAAGGCACCTGATGCTCTGCCATCGGACAAATGGCTTGCCCATGTGGTACGATCCCAGCACATCGCTGAAGAGGTTGGTTATCAGTTCTCCATGGATGACCCGCCCTCAGACGTGTCAATCACGCAGTCAAAGGTACAGTATCAGATGAAGACGTTCGAAAAACAACTCGACGAGTGGCGTCAAAATTCGACAGAAGACATGCCACAAGGTATGGTGACCGCCCAGAGCTTTTATCTGTTACAACTGCTGACTTGCTTTTGCTAGATCTCCTCAAGCTTAACGAAGCGATAATTGATCTCTACATCCATGAGATTGCCATGCACCACTCTCACAATATCGACGACTTCCGACCTCCCTACGGTATGGAGGAGGAGAATGAAGAACAACCCGATTACATCACACCAGCACATATCGACTCCCTGACCATCTGCCTTGACAGCATTCACAAAGCATTCGACGTCTTCCTCAATTTGCCCCTCTTGACTCTCCGCTCCTTGCCAACCTTGTTCTTCGTCCGGAACTCCTATGCCGCCGTCGCATTAATCAAAATGTACACCGCCGTCTCCGCCAAAGGCAGCAAATTTGGCAGCGTCTTCAAGCCCAAAGATCTCAAAGTAGAATATTACCTCGATGCGATGGTGGAGAAAATGAGGCGCGCAGCTGACGGCGGTCAAAGTCGTATTGCCCTGAAATTCACCTTCATCGTTGACATGCTGAACAGTTGGCAAGCGAAGCGTGTATCAGGGGATTTGACTAGTAAAGATAAGGGTATGCTAAGTGTCAAGAGCCTTGATGCCGGATGGGCGAAGCGTCAGCAGCTCCTAGCTCAGAATCAGCAAGATCTCAAAACGACTTCTTGGAATGCAACCGCTAACAATAGCAATTCGAATGCGAATGTAGCTAAATCTCAGCATTCGGGCCTCCAGGTGTTAAGCGAGGTAGCGATGGGGAATAACAACAACAATCGCTCTTCCTGCCCGAACAGTAATACAGCAGATCCCGCAGCAGCCGCCGCAGCCGCTCTGGCAGCCTCCACTACCAATACCAACAACACCACAACCCAAGCATCATGGAGTTCGCAACTGGCCGCCTACACCGAGATGCAGCCCCAACACCAGCCGCAGCCGCAGCAGCAGCAGCAGCAGCATTCGATGCCTAACATGCAAGCGCCAGCCGATTTCTTCTCCCAGGGCTACATGACCGATCTTGATAACTTTACCTTTACGGCCGAGGAGTTGGGCGCCTTGGGTAATATGATGGATGATCCTGCTTGGCTGAGCTTTGGCTTGGAGAGTGGAGGCTTGGGCTTGGGCTTGTAGATGGTTCGGCTTGTTTTGCCATGAGAGGCCGGCAGCTGGAGATGGAGCTGGAGATGGAGATGAAGACAGGATGTGCAGGACGTTATCAGGATGGAATCCGCGCAGATGCAGATGGTGCGTGGTTATGCAACTTGGTTAACTTGCTTTGCTTTTTGCCCAGGGTCGGCTCTGTTGGCTTTACTTTACATGGGACTGGGATATGAATGCACGGAGGAGGGAGGGATGCATGCACAGGTGGACGAGTGAGTGCCTCTAATTGAATAAAGTGAAGTGAGGTAAGGTGAAGTGAAGGTGCTGTGCCACGAAAAGGCAGTAGAATCCGCCAAGGCTGGGCACGTTGCAACTGAGCAGCGCAGAGCAGAGCAGAGTATGGACAGGGACAGAACAGGATACGACACGACAGAATATGGACGACCATCCCCTTGTCCGAGTCATCCTATCCTAATTTCAATACGGACATGATTCCACTCTATACAGCGTCATGTCATCATGAGTCTCATGTCATATTCTAGGTATGAGTACTCCGTAAAAGTGATGAGTGATAGAGTACTCTGAGATGAGATGAGATGCATGAGATGTATGAGATGTATGAGCTTAGACATGATGTGATATGATGATATACTATAGACATGACATGACATATGATATGATATGATATGATATGGATGTTGAGTAGCAGTAGCAGTAGCAGTAGCAGTAACAGAGTGATATCGCTATAGATGAGTTGTTCACTTCTTCGTAAGTGGGCAGATCGTCCCGTCCTGATTTAGCAGTAGCTGGTTGAGAACTTGGTATGGATGGATGGATGGATGGATGGATATGTTGAATGCGGAGCCTGGGGCCTGGGATGGTGTTACTACGGTAGGGTTTGGTGTGGTGTGGTGTGATATGAGGTGGTGTGATGTGATTGAGGCGTAGGTTATAGGAGTGGGCGCGCTAAGCCGGGAGCCGGAAGCCGGAAGCCGGGAGCTAGGTTGGGTTGTTGAATGTAGGTAGATATTGATTGTCTCTTAGTTGGTTGGATGGATAGGTGGATGGATGGATGGATGAAGAAATGAGTGACTGACTTGCATCTTTCCCCTCTTTGTTGAGCCGATGTTGATCCAGGTTATTACGCATGCTCTCCTATCGCGGCCGGCTCTCGATCTTTGTACATCCAAACCAGCCTCATCCTCCGTTTTGAGGCTAGATACTGGACATCCTATTTCACTGCTGCTGCTGGGTTTAGCTGCATCATCTCCGCTTCTAGTGCATGATCTGTCTCATCTGATCTGAAGTCCTGGTTGCCGTTCAGCTCAACCTGGGGTGGAGAGTTGGATTTGTACAGTATCCAAGGTAATGGATCCCAGCGTACTCAGGTATCTTTATTCAGAGGGACAGAGTCGAACAAGAGAGATGTGTCCAAGCTCGTTGGTGCATATGACTTCTAGGAACAGCTCAGACATTTTACTGCTCAGCACCTATTCACACCATGGGGTCGGTCCGGTAGTTCTCGTTGAAGACGGATTCGGCAACTCCATCAATGGTTCCACGCCCCGCCATCCTTTGGCCGTGATTTCTGACCATCTCACGTGGTAGTAAATAGCTCTTAGCTTGAGGATCAATGGTAGTCCAGATGCTAACGAAAATTTCCGAGTTGTAGAGTTCTTCGCTGCTAGATATGAAGAGTGACATATCCAGGATGGAAAGGTGGACGATCAGGGTAATATTCGTTTGCAACGCTTTACTCTCAAACCTGAATGAGCGAGAACTTTAGACATAAGTAGCGAGGGTAGCCAAAGCTTGATGTTGAGATTTAATCTCTAGAAATGAGAAAAAGATAATCATTGGCCTGCATGGCGGCCATCTGGTCGAGGTAACCTTCAGTGGAATCGCTATACGTCGTGAGTAGTGTGAACAGGAGGGATGAGGCTCGTTGAGGAGCAGATTTTGATTCGACCTATTGGAAAGGGGTGCTGCGAGTGACTTGAATGAAGTCATGGCGGAATATGAAGCCAAAGTAGTCAGACGGCGGCCGGTGAGTTTGCTGGCCAGTGGCCACCCGGGAGAGGGCCTGTCAACCCTTCCCTCGCAATATCACCCCAGTATTTGTGGACCTGACAGCAACACTGAATAAATCGTGAATTGGTACATTGCAGAGCGATGGCGTCTTAACAGCTGCTGCAAGTACTGGGTTTTTTCTGATAACGTGGAACGGTGGAAAGTCCCGGTCGGCACAACTGTTCAGGTGACTGTCAACCCAAAACCTTTGCCCCAGAGACCTCTGCTACGAAGCCGTACCGAAACCTCTTCCGCCCAAACCTCTAGATCACCGACCTTCTCCTTACCCGCAGCTGTAGCCAGATCACCATTGATTCCGTTGTGTAAGTCACTGCTTGTGTCTTCCTGTATCGATGAGTTGACACCATGTTCCATAACGGCAAGAATACTACTCCGCCAACTTGGAACCTCGCTTCGCCGGGTCCGCCACACGGTTAAACCCAAGAATACCATGCTCAAGGTCACCACGATAAAAGGGTACAACAACCATAGCCACTGGACTTGAATGAATGGTTCCACGACTAGGACAGTGCCCTCAACATGCTCTTGAGAATTCACCCGCATTGCATTCGTCAGTGCATCTGCAATGTTAGCGAAAGTTGTCTTTACATTTTTGACCCCGTTGTTGTAGAAGCCCTGTGCGATCCCGTTTGTGAAAGCAAACTGGCCCATCTCATTCCTCCCAGTATCACCTAGGAGTGTTGTTCCTAGCGAATCTTGAAGAGCTTCCAACGAAGGCGTATTCACAGAAAACGTACGGTTCCTACTGCCAATAGTTGTAAGATATGTGGAGGGGACATCGAAGAAGAATGTTTCGAGATCGTCGGTACTATTCAGGGAAAAAGTCGCAGATTGTAGACCCTCGAAAACATCCAGTGGTGTTTCATTGAAGTAGCTGAGCGATTGGCTGGCTTGATAGGACTTGGCACAAAAGGCCAAAACACAGTCCCAGGCGGTGTAAGCCCAGGGCTCGGAGGGATCTCCTCCGGTAATCACGGAAACATTTGTGATTGTTCCAGGTGACTGATATTTGGAGAGAGTGTCTGAGTTGAGTTCAAGGTGATTCGATCGTAGGGTAGAAGGGCCGGTGGATGCATTGATGCTTAGGTACCCAAAAATTGTTGATTCGCTTGTCAGGCTATGGCCATTTGGAAGAGAGTATTTGGATATCCCACTGATCTGGTCGGGTTCATGTGTGACTCGTAGGAGCGAAGAGACATTATGGCAGTTTGAGCAGACTGCCAGCGATGCGTATTCTGGAAAGGTACAATTTCCTGTAGGACAGTATGGTGTAATCGAGGAGGCTGAGCGTGTAAGATTGCGGGAGAATACGCCGTCGTAGACTGCAGCAATCAAGGGTTGAGTGGTATATGGAGGACCTGCCAGACTATCATACAGATTAAAGTGTTGAGCGTATGGAATACTGGCGATGTTTTTGCTCTGTGGGTGAACTCGAAGAGGATAGCTTACAGACTGTTGCAGGAAAGCATCAGATGCAAGAGACAATAGAATGATAATACTTCCAATAGAAGCCATTTGCCAAAATTTCAGACGGAACAGGAGCTGCAGTGCACCCCAAGGACCACGCGAAGCCATATCGAATATCTGGAAATCTTGAAGTGACTTTGTCTTGCGTGTATACCATAGCCACTTAAGCTGACTGAGACATGCGCACACCGGCATCAGCATGAATCCCTTCATGATCGTGGCAAGTGTGGACAGAACAGTGTTCAGCTGAATAGAATGTGGCCAGCTGTTAAGTGGTTTCCCGTTGTATAACATGAGGGTGGTAAATATGGTAGCCAGCGCAGCACCAGCTATGGTCATTGCAAGGTACTCAAGTGCCCATGAGTCGGAAAAGAACCAACGGAGCCAGGCTTTGTATTGTCCATGGTATTTTCTGTGCTGGTTACTGCCCTTGGAAGGCGCCACGAGCATCGCTCTTTCGGCTTGGGAGGATGGCATAGATCTCATTTCGTTCCAGAGGCAGTAGTTACGGTGGATCGTGGAGTAGAAGAGCTTCTAGATATGTGAGCATTTTAGCAAGGCTTTGCCCTTCCCCGTCTAAGCCTGAGGCCTGCATCACACCCGTAGGTGTGATAGACATTCTGAGCCGCAGTATGCGGCTCATTATTAACCAACGTTGCATCCGTACAGCACCTTGCTTACTGCAAGGCTATGACAAGTATACAGGGATTTTCGAGACGAGTGATTGGTTGATTTTGGCCCCTGAGTAAAGTTCATGCTCGCGGTAGTCAGACTGCATAAGGATGTGCTTACCTTGTGGCACAGGCTGGCGATGCCATGGCTGTGATGATGAATGCTGTGGTACAATGTTATTTTAAAAAGACTTGTTGTGCTGAGATCTGATTGGGAAGCTCAATGCAATAATCTGGCTAGTGGTCACAGCCCTATGTCAAAGGCATATTCCATGAATATTCCATGACCCGCAGCGGCCCGCAGTTTAAATCCCAACGGTTCGCTAAATGTGTGAGCATGCACTGCCTCTCAATTAGTGATGGCTTGGAACGAAAGTACCCAGGACAAAGGTAAGAGAGAAAGGTACGTAGGTTACAGGCAATCTAGCAATTTAAAATGAAGGATGTAACCAGAGATGCAGGAGTGAGATGTGAGTATTGCATAAGCAGTCAGTCAGATCATAGGTAGTACCTTGGAAGAGCATGGCTTAATGTGTCTGCCTGGGAATTGTAGTGAAATCTTCCACGTTCCTTGCATAGTACATACCAGCACCACTGGGAAGCACAGAATAGTCATTGAAATCATTAAAGGGCAAACATATAGATGATGGGGTCCGTAGACGCCCGACAACTGTTCTTTTATATTGTTTTTGAGTTTTACCTTTTTATGTACATTTTCATACTCTGCCGCTCTTCTCCTGCCGACAAGCTCAACCCTCCTTTCACGGAGCACAGCCGGTGTGAATTCTTTTCGCTTCATCACGACTCCTTCTCAACAGGCTTAACCTTGTGTCTCAGCTCTGATACTGGCTTCACGGGATACAACTCGATGACGAAGCTCGGGCACCGAAAACCTGGGTATAATACAAACTCAGCAGCTCTGCTCTTGTGTGTTAGCATCTTCAAGTGGGCGTTGTGGGGCTCACTGATGAAGGTCAGTTTCATTCTTGATCCTTTTCTGTTCTCCTTGGTATGATTTCCCACAATCTTGCTCTTCTTGGGACTTTCGTCTCCGTGCTTCATCGCTGTACGACCATGCTGGGCTTTTGGCTCGGGGTTTGATACTGATATGTTGAGGTCGCCAGGGCTGCTCCTTTCCATTGCATCGCAGATAATTTCACGTTTCCCTATCAAGCACCGTCTTCTTATTCAAGCTGGCGTGGCTGTTGACGTCCCGTTCATTCCATTTGAGGAAGCTACACGCTTAGCAGGAGGCGCTCCAGACGATGTCTGTCCAAATATTAGCATATGCCACCGATGTAATCAATTTACTCGGAGCAATGGAGCCCAGAGCATTCCATCTTGGATGGAAATTGGTGATATAAGTGGAGAGCTTGCGTACCTCGATGTCTGAGAAGCTTCTCTTCTGCACGGTCGAGTTGACTGCCTTCTTCGACAATGGCGCCTTCTTCTTCGGCTTCGTTGGCTTCACATCTCCTTTCTCTTTGTCGAACACGTCGTCGGGCAGATCATAGCTCCCAGAATATTAGCACGTGATAAAGCTGAGTTTGTGTGAACTCACCATTTGATCGGCACGACGTTCACTTCATGCAAATTTTCTTGCCAGTTCTGCCAGGATGTACAGGTGTTTTTGAAGAAGCTGATGGCAAAAGAGATATCAAGATTCTTCGTAGCAGCTGCTGTCAGCTCGATGCCAACATAGAATGTGGTAGTGTAGATCGTTTGGACTTCGTTATTCCCATTCGTCTCCGCATGCGCATTCTTTGCGTCCCCAACTACCGTACCCGTCTCTGCTGCAACCACTCGGGCCGGTTCATGCGTCTCGTCGGTAGTCTTGGTCTCCAGTACTTGATGTTTTACGCTGCCTTTTTTGACCTCATCGGCTTCAGCATCGCTCTTGACTTTGTGAACTCGTTCATATCCTTTGATGAAGGGTCGCGCAAGCTCGATCATATCTGCCTGTTCTTCAAGCTTCATGACTAGAATGCGTACCTTGGATTCGACGAGACCAGACCACGCAAGCGCAGCGTCTTTGTTGTTTGAGCTTGAAATGACATTAAGGTAGTATCGGTGATCCTGGGTGAAAAAGGTGTGTCGATCGAATAGTGCACTCCATGGCGACTTGCCTTCAACAATTTTCTTAACAATCTCTTCGCCTCTTTTCAGTTCCTTCAGGATGATCGTCTTGCCGGATTTTGAGATGTTGAAAGTCGCACACATACTTGGGTAAGCAGGAGTGATGACAGGCATGAGATTCTTCTTGTCGCCTGAGTAGATCTGCGGGTTCCAAGTCTTCTCCTTTCCGGTCTCGATGGCTTTGAGCATAATTGGAGATGGCCAACTCCATTGACCAATGATGAAAAAGAACTTCTGGATAATGGTCGAGCCAGTGGCGGTAGGATAAAGCTGGCAGACACGAGCAACCAGCATAGCCCAAGCAACACCTCCTGGGAAACCCAGTATGTTGGCATATATAGCTCGTCGCTGTGCCCAAAGCTTGATCGCTCTCAGAGCCGTTCGAAATGTCTTGGGTTGTGGTACCAAGCCAAGGATCTCATCTGTGACCCGAGTCCCGTTGACGGACTTGATCTCAGCCTGATCCATGCCTTCTAATAGCTTTGTGTCGCGGAGGTCGAGGTGCAGAGGAATTGCGTTGAGAGTGGGTATGCGGGCGAAGATGAGATCAATATCAATGCCACAGAGCTCCATCTTGATGATAGGCACAAATGAGTCGGGCACGGCTGTCATATCGCCAATGTCTTTGGTGGGAACCATGCGCTTGAGGATTGTAGGGAACAGCTCAAAGAAGTCTTCGCGCTTGACCTGTCTTGGAGCGACAACAAGTGTATCAATGTCGGAACCTGTGTTGCATGTCAGCTTCTGCAAGACATGAGTTCCATGTCAACCACGCATTACTGACCCGGACCATAGACACCAAGCCTGTAGCTACCATATGGGAATATTTTGCCGCCAAACTGTGCTATTGACGCTTCTGAAAAGCCTTTCTTTCGGCATACTTCTTTCACGAATTCAACGGTGACTTTGTAGAGAAGTTGCAATGTTGCTTGTCTGAGTAATCACAGTCAGATCCCGGCCACTGGTAGGTTATCGCAGATTGACTTGCCTCTTCGCCGTCTCGGCAGGACTCTCATAATTGTTCTGGCGCTTGAGTTCTTCAATAAGCGCACTGTTTAACGAAACATCTGCAGGAGTTGGCAATGCGGAGGATATAGCTGGCGTCAAGCCCCATTGCCTGACTGGAGCTGCTGCCATTTTGAGAAACGCCGTGCAGAAAATGAGATGGGGGTTATCGGATGTAGGTGGACATCGGCTTTGCGGAGAGGGAGAAGGTGGTTTGAAAGTGATCGCGGTCGTTTGTCTCCATATATGAAGCACAAATAGAGAGAGTGAGCTGACAGCAGGCAAGAAAATGGACAAAAGTTCACCAAACTCCAAATGAAAGGATCGCTATTAGAGAATAGAATCACCTTTCAGCACCGCGAACTGTGTCTAACCATTCACTTTCCTGCGCCTAGATCCCTATCGCCCCAGGCTAAGGATGACGCCGCCTTAAGCATCTATGACTAGCGCCAGAGCTCGGTCGCTCCGTGTTATTCACTGTCAAACATATGCAGGTGACATGTTATTGAGGAGAATAATCTAACCCACTATTTGAATATCCATTCAATTGTGTTGTCTGCCGCTGGTGTCCAGTCAAGACACATTTGACGTCAAGAAGTCAACCTGCCCATGCATCTCTACACAGTGAGTGGCAACTTGAGCTGAAGAACCTTCCCATGTCTTAGGTTTACGAAACAAAACCCATAAGTGAAGTGCTAGATATATCTGACTGCGTTGTTTAGACGGAAGCAGTGCCAGGACATGGACTTGCTGCACAGTCAAGTTATGTATGGAACGGTGGCCGGGTACTGCAATCAAGATTTATCACTTCTAACTAGACCTCCATCTCAGACTATCCACAAAGTGTCTTTCTTATTGTCCGTCCACCTTCGGCTTCATCAGACTCTCATTCAACTTTCCAGCCTTCTTCTCCGCTGCAAATACCGGTCTCGGGATCTCCAAACCGTCACTTACTCTCGCATAACTGATCCCACCCAATCTCGACATCGGTCTTAATACGTTGGGATCAATAAGACTCCTTGTCTTATCAATAGCATCCTCTCTAACCCAAAACCTAACCCCCTCAACAATAGCCATAACCCCCGTCTTCTTCCCAGGCGTAGTCCTCGACTCAAACTCCCTCGTCTCAACTAGCTTTCCCTCAACGCTAAACACCGACTCCTTTACCCTGGAGCACTTGACATCCTTGCATGGCGCTGGATGCAAACCGGTCAACGCCCATTCCGAAACCCCATACGGCGCATCAATTGACGTCGCATTCGCCGCCTCAATGAAATGCTCCGAAACAATATTGATCGTGCACTCTTGCGACTCCACCAAATTCCTCAGCGAATCCTTCGCGTTATCCATCCCGCCTGAAAACCCGACAGTGAAAAGAGGCGGATCATGACTAACCACCTGCGTGTACGAAAACGGCGATAAGTTCGTCGACTCACCATCCTTTGACCTGGTGCTCAAAAACCCGATGGGCCGTGGCACGATGCCCGAGATTAGTAACTTGTAGTTCTGCGCCGCTTGGCGGCCCTCGGCGTAGGGATCGATGTCGATGTGGTTCTTTTCAAGACTTGCACCACCGTCGTTGCCCCCAGAGCCGTAGGTCCAATTCGGCTCTACCGTTTTACTGAATTGAAAGTCTCTTCTTTCATAATCGGGTCGAGAAGCTTGCACTTTGGCGAAATCGGGATGAGGGTTACGCTTGATGCTGGATTCCGCATCGGCCTTTCCTTGTTCTTGGGGCATCTTATGGGTAGATGTAGTTGAGAGTAAGCGATTGAGGAGATGTGGAGGGTTGGGAGAAGTAGTCGACGACTCTCCGGAAAGACTGAGCAGACGAGTAGCTGATTTGAGATTCTGATATTGGATAGATGACACGTTAAGCCTGAAACTGAATGTGGCAGCAAGCCTCATTGGTCAATATGCTAGTGATTGCGCAATATTTAATTACTAGTCGCAGCATTTGCTGCTGCACTCGGTCAGATCTTGAGAGACATCAGCCGTCCTTCAAGGCCACGTCAGAGAGCTTCTTGGAGAACTTGGGAAAAGCGTCTTCTACCACTGCTCCGAGCAAGCAGTCTTGTCTGTCAGCTATCTAGGCAATAATCTAGCAGAACGTTCCCCTAAGATCCCTTGACGATGAAGATCGCGAAACGTCTTGAGTATTGAGTTTGCAAGATGTTGACCCAGGCACACCTATGGTTGAGAATTGGAGCACAGCAGTTCAATTGGAGATCCCTTGTTCCGCGCCAAAAAGGAGATTCAATAGGTCATGGCCGATTATTCTATGCTTGTCCAAGCAAAAGCCGGCCACGATTTTATTTTGGTCTCCTCGCGGTGACATGCGGTGACATGCTGCGGGGTTTCTTCATGAGTTTTCTACCCATAATAGAGCTATCGAGGAGGACTGTCCCGACTTCTAGATCTGTGTGACTAGAAGTCAACTCCGCCTCATACTTCCATAAACACCCATGGCAGAAGGACAAGTGAACTTACCCTCGCGGCCAAAAGCCTCTCCACCAGACTACCAGAAATACGACCTGGGAGACTTCAAGTTACAAAGCGGCTCCACCCTCCCGTCCGCCTGGATCGCATACAAAACCTTCGGCACCCTTTCCTCCCCCGCCATCCTCTACCCAACATGGTACTCCGGTTCCATCTCCGACAACGAATGGCTGATCGGCGCCGACAAAGCCCTAGACCCAGGTAAATACTTCATAATCATCATCGCGCTATTCGGCAACGGACAGTCCATCTCGCCGTCAAACTCAAACATTCCTCTGTTTCCCAAGGTGAGTTTCTACGACAACGTCCGTGCCCAGCATGAGCTCTTGACCAAGGAGCTCGGGATTGCCCATTTGAGGGCCGTGACGGGCTGGTCCATGGGCGCGGGCCAGACGTACCAGTGGGCGACGCAGTATCCGGAGTTCATGGATATAGCGATCCCCTTCTGTGGCAGTGCGAGGACGAGTCTGCATAATCAGGTGTTCTTGGAGGGGGTGAAGAGCGCTTTGCTCGCTGCGAAGGGGTTGGCCAGTGCAGGGGTCAAGGAAGGTAGGGTGGAAAAGGCAGGAAGCGAGGTGAGGGAATGGACGGAAGAAGAGAAGACGGTGGGTTTGAAGGCTTTTGGGAGGGGATATGCCGGGTGGGGGTTCAGTCAGGCGTTCTATCGGGAGAAGCTGCATAAGAAGTTTTATGGGGCCAAGGATCTGGAGAATTTTATGGTGAATTTTTGGGAGGCTTGGGCGTTGTCGAAAGGTGCATTGTTCATGACGATTCATGCAGAGTGCCGTGGATGTGCTGATATGGTTAACGCACAGATCCCGAGAACCTGCTGGTCATGCTCCAGACGTGGCAGAGCGGAGACTGCTCGCGGCAGGAACCGTACAATGGCAATTTCGAAGAAGCCATGCAGTCGATCAAGGCCACGACCCTGGTGCTGCCGTCGAAGACTGACCTATATTTCCCGTAAGCTGTGCTCTCTGTTCGAGCGATAGCTACTCATGAATGGTCAGACCCGAAGACTCTGAGTATGAAGTTGGGAACATGGCACCAGGGATAGGGGCACTAGAGGTCTTCCCGTCGATATGGGGCCATTGGGCGGGAGGACCGCCAGGCAATATGGAAGATGTGAAGTGGTTGGATGACAAGATTCGGAAAGTGCTGGCAGATGATTGAGCATTGCGTGTGTATTCGAAGACTAGTTCTTGCTCCTAAGCGTCTGCATATACTTTCATTAAAGTTCAATTGGTACAGAATGATGAGGCTAACCACAACCCGAGCGTCCGAAAGTGGATGCGATGGTGGTCCAGGACTAACCGGACCCTTTACGAAGCCATGATCAGGTGGGTCTCGAAGTAAGGGTAAACAACCTGCGGCAAATGTTTCCAAACGAGCCAATGTGAAAAGGTGAAGAAGAGCGGAAACCAATTAAGAACTAATGAATGTTTCTCAGCTCTCGCCTCTGATATTATTGATTGGGCAGCCGTGCTGCCATCAAAAGCTGAAGGACTGATATGAATTCGACAATGATAGCTCGATTCGACATCAAAGTAGTGGGTCATTAAGCGCGTGCTGTGAAGGTCTCACCCCTTTGCCGGTAGTTTGGTGGTCATGGCTGTTTGTTGCAGCAAGATCGAAAGCAGGAGACATTGCAATCGTATTATGAAGGGTGAAATGCAGCTTCTCCGTGTAGATGTCTGTTCTCAACCTTCGATGGTGAGATGGTGGAAGACGACAGTTTCGAAAGTAAGGTAACACAGTTAGTGCCCTGCTCATCAACACTCGAGGAGGTATAAACGGTAGCTGGGATTCTGCCAGCAGAGGTTCCCATCAACGTCACAATCTCTTTTGAGGATTGTCGCTTCAAGCATGTGGATGATACCGTGTTCCGCTGTTGCACAGTTGGGTCCGCCTTAACGTCCTTGATTGCGCTCACGCACTTCACTTGACGACAGGCATTGATCCTCGAATATTGTTGCAGCCCGAGAACTGGAACCGCCATTGTCGTTCTCCAAAGCAGATTGGTTTCCAACGGAGGCATTGCGTTGACGACTATGCTGCTGAGAGGGTGGTGCGTATCCAAGACAAGTCTGACCACTTTTCATGCAAGTCTCACACTCTGGAGAAAGGGATTGTTAACTGCGTTCAGAATGCAAGAGGCAGCGAGGCAAGTACTTGGTTGTTCTCCTGAGCATTTTGTCTTTCTTCTCCGGCAATTCTGACATCTGCAGAACACGAGCGGAAGTTAGCTTATCGTCGGAATATATAACGCCGGTAGGTGGTTCTTACGCATGATCTGTTCTCCTCTGTTTGGCTTGGGATGATCCATTATTTGTCACCCATCGCAGCTGCGTTGGTGGTGCCAGTGGAGCACTGCCCTCGTTTCTGGAGGACGCAGACGAGGGGTGAGATGCTGCAATCGCGCTCCCGATCATGCTTCGCTGGGTTGAAGGATAGTGGAGTTGGGATTGTGAGGCCCCCGTCTCCACGTAAGGAAAAGGAGGAGAACCCAAGAATACCCCAGTGGTTGACTGTTGAGCACCTGCCATAGGATTAGGGTAAGCAGCCGAAAAAGGGGTATATTGCGCATGGGGCAGTAGAGGAGGCTGAGAGTCCCATTGCGAGGCTGGCTGCCAGTCTTGCCAGTCTTGCCAGTCTTGAGGATCTTGCTGGCCAGTGTGGTAAAGGTGATCTGGATTCATTGTGGGCTGGGGCCCGGTAGAGACAAAGGCCGGAGGCTGCCTAGTGTGAAAAGGGCCAATCGTACAGCATCAACAACACGATGAAAGAGTACCTCAGGCAGAATATTACACGAGTTGTGCTTCCAAGGCGGTTGGCCACATTGCCTGGTATATAAACTCCTCAGAGCAGGCAACAAGTATCGAGCCATGGTCAAAGCCTGAACAGAGTTTCAGCATCGCCACGCCCCTTCGCACAATGAACTTGCTGTCATCAACGCTCAAAGGACTCCCACCCAGCCCAGGACCCCAGTCATTGGAAGAATCCTCCATTGGCCATGTGCATCCCAAGTCTCGACTCGGAGACCGTGACAATGGTATCGACAAGGGTCGAAACGAGGATGCAGCGCCTCGAATGGGGCCAGTAAGAACGACACAGCGATCACGACCAATATCGGTTCCGATGTTGGCTTGCTCCAAAATACACTGCAGGCGTCTTCTGGAAGGCTTCTTCGATATCCTCCCTTACACGTCAAGATTCCATATCTTAAGCCCCGATGTGTCAACCTCTGAGATAGACTTCATGGCTCCCGCTTCCTTGGAGACGGGAGGGAAAGCGGCACAGTCCCTACTTGCCGTCCATCCAAGCACGATAATGGACAGCCTGAGCAGGTTCGAGATTGTACCTATTGTGGAAAGCCGGGGAAATGGAAGCGCCTCTTTAGGCAAGGCCTCAACCTGTTAATCAATGCCTCACTGAAACATGATCGGCAATTGGATTTACACATCTTTGCGTGCTCCCGTTAGTGAAGACCATAGATCGGCAATACCCATAGTGGGAACCTTCCTTGGAATCACTAGTATACCAGCCATTTTTCCGTCCATACCTGCCAGATCGTGGGTGACCGATGAATGGACGACGCTTACCGACCGGCTACTGAAGTGAAGTGACTCAACGTAAAAGACCGCCTTTCTGTGGGGTGTCATACCCGCTTCTTCTCTCCCTCTGTTCGTGTGACGAGCTTGTTGAGCATCACCACATACTTCGCAGCTCAGTGACGGTTCCAAGCTCAAACCAGGATCATTTCGGCTCCTTCGTCAAGTGTAGGTTTGGGAAGAGAAGATGATTAGCAGGATCGTATGAGATGGCCGGGCAACAACGTGCAAGGCGCCTTCCTAGCCGCCTGTCAAACAGGTGGTTTTGAATGTTGATATACTACTGAGATCGTCACGCACGATGCAAGGTACTCTGACCAGGATGAAGACGCAATCTAGCATGAGCATGTTAGATTGAAGAGAGCCGTGTGCTCGGCAGCTTGAGACATGGTGTACGGATTCAAGTCTGACGACACCTAGACGCCTGTGAACCTCAGAATGGGCCCATACCCCTCTTTAGCCAGCCTTCCCACAAGCATTTCGTCCAAATAGAAGAAGTCGGTGTCTAGCAATGGCAGCAGCTTCTTCAGCCAAAACATATTATGGCTTAATGGTACCTATATTCTCCACAGTTGACCTCACGGGCCCTCCTGGCTCTGGTATCCTTGGCCGAGGACTTGATTTCAAGTTGTTCAAACTCCACAAACCTAGATGTTTAGAACACAGCTTGTCCATGAAACGGGAAACAACGCCTAATATTGATTAGGGGTAATGGGGGCTGAAATGATTCCCATAAGTGTACAATGCATGATGATTGACCTGCCAGACATCTTGCCCAAAACTGTGTGTTAGGACCGTTGTTTAGCGCTACTAATCATGGTACCAATCCGCGACGTTTGATGTCTCCAGTAAGATCGTCACTCCCTTGTACATGGTAAGTGTCTGGGGACACTCGATCGCCATGTTCCAGGAATCGCACGCTGCCACTCTGAAACCTTAAAATCGGGAGATCGTCGCTCGATGAATGCTCAGTGCTTAAACATGTTGATGTGCATAGCTCAAGTGCTGCGCGGACTAAGATTGAGATCACAAACAGCCTCCAACCAACATCTTACTGGATGTGCAGGAAACAAATCTTGCCCGGCCATCCACGGATACTAGAAGTTGTACTAGAGATCATCCTTTGGTCGCCAGATCTGGCATGACTTACGTAGTAGTGTGGTATGCATCACAGCTTATTTGTGTGCACGACAGTGGTAGTGTGAACCTTCGAGCTTGCTCAGGCTGACTCGAAAAGCAAATTCGTGGGCCAGATTTTCGGTCAGCTTCATTGCGGTCATAACACCTATGCGGATACCGGGCTCCATGTGAGCAGCTAGCAAGCGATCAGCCCGGGAAGCATGGAGCTCTCTAACATAGTATGGAGGTGGGGAGAAGACCGGGCCCTGCTACCTGCATACCCGGTATTCGACTTTCGCTGCCACGTGCATCGAGCCACATCACCGAGAGATCGACGAAGAAATGATATGCATTGCAGTCTGATCGACTGTACAGCTGGTCAGGTCATACTCTTGATGATATCAGCCTGTTGTAGGCGGATCGAAACGTCTCCAGAGCTGTCCAAGTCAGGCGTTGCCCAATGCGCAGAAGAGGCAAAGGCAGAAAAGAGAATGCAGTCCCTGTGGACAAGACGAGTCAAGCTTGAAGGCGCTCTCCAATCTCCTCACTACCCAGACGAACAGAGCACTGCGGCAGTATCCTGTAACTTAGAGGGAAGAGCTGCATGCGTTGGAACAGAGTAGTACTGCGTAGTACTACGGTTTCATCTATGGTGGAAACCTGGGAGAGTACGAGACCTCCGGACTCAGGTTCCAACTGCCAGTGGTGCAACACCGGGCAACTTGAAGTTCAAGCACTGGCAACTCCTGAACCGCCAAAATTTATTTAGTGCTTGGCATTGTGACATGATTCGCCAACGACTAGTCGCCATTCAGTTGGCCATCGAGTCATTGACCATTCACGTTCATTCCAGCACACGGTGCACACCTCGAACGGACATCACTATTGTCCCCAATTCCTCGATGAGCGAGCATGAGTCGGCCCGACAGAAATCGACACCAACATCGACTTGATCTCTCCTATACGATACGCCTTACAACACTCTTCCGAGGGGCTATCTGCGGACCATCCCTATGCCGTACGCTGCGCTTCTTGCTCCGAGTTAATACGGCTTCTAATGCAAGCATCCATCTGAACGCGAAGTTACGAGCAGGCCAGCGATGGCTTTTGCAGCCTTCCCTGATACACTTTGCTACCATCACACGCTCAAATCCAGAATAAACCCCTTCTCTATATGTGGTGCTAACGCTTCATGCGCTGGGTCGGGTCTAGCACCGTACAGAAAGTGCAGATGCGAGGGGAGTCTCGTCAATAGATTCTGAAAGTGTATGCCCCACAAGTTCGGACAGCGCGCTTGCTAATGTGACCGGTATCTGTAGAGCGTCGCTAGACCAAAGGTCGAGCCGACTGGGGAAAGTTGACCACGAGGCAATGCTGGAAATTGGTACATGATCCGCAGCGTCTGCTCTGATTGGTATCCAGTGAGCCACTCTCTACGAAACAGATGCCTTCGCCAATCCTAGTTTCATGTGACAGTATCGGCAGGATGTCGTACAAGTGCTGTATGTGCATGCATTGGATCGGCTGCGCTCTTCCCGTGTCGTCGTGTACTCCAGAGTGGTTCCAGCATGAGCTCTCGTATCGCTCTTCATACCCGAGACACGCAGCGAAGACTATTGTATGCATTTGTCTTTCTGTACGTGAATTTCCTCCGCACCTGTGGGCAGGAACCGTCGGTAAGATACCCTCCGTCTCCTTTATCATTACTACTTAGGGGAATAACGAACAACAGGGAGTACCTAGTGGCCAAGCAATGCATACCTGGTGTCGCAGACAACAACATACCGACTCTGGCAATCACGAGGAGACTCAATACACGGATAGTCATCGGGATTTAGCCCTAGTATCGTAGCTAAGGCGTCAGTCCTCTGAAGTATGTGTAAGAAAGATTACCTGTTATGGTATCGCCGAGCGCTAGAATGTTTCGCCTTGGTACGGTTGAAGTGGGGGCGAGATCAGTGGGTAGAGATTGGCTGTCTCAACACAGGATATTATTGGGGCCAGAAGCAACGCGCGAAAGGTCAAGTCAATGCTTTCAAGGAGGGTCGGTGCTTCATCTGTTGGGTTTTTCGTCCAGCTAATTCTCCCCCGCCCCATCAACTGGTGTCTAATTTCGTCGCCCTTTCCTGTATGGCGGGCAGGACTCTGGAAGTGTATGGATTCAGTCTGATTCCGCCCGATTGGACGGACCTGTGTTGATATAACGAAGATCTCACATGATTGCTACCATCACGGCCTTCCATTGCTGTAAAAATCATGTCATTGCCTGCCAGTAGCCTCTTGTCGACCGCGCTGTCTTCCTCTTCTGGGGTACCGTCGGGATAAGCGCCTGCAGTGGTCGAACTCCGCTTTGCCATTGGCAAAATTCCGCCTTCGGATGCTGCTCTCTTTGCTTACTTGGGCAAGTTGCATACTGATTTCGAGCGAACAAAATTCTAGCTAGAAGGCTAACTCAGTTTTGAGGTCTTCATGATTGATATGAATACAGCCTTCCCAAAAGTGAGACCGCAGCAACAGCTTTTGCTGTCCAGCTCAGGGTTGGTTGGACTTACCTGCTTCACCACACAGGAACCTGATGCCAAGAAGAGCTTGAGCCGCTCGTCAAGTTTTCTGGAACAAGGACTTTTACAAATCAATGGCTCGTGCAGTCAATGGTAACAACACAGGACGGGTGAAGCCTCTCCCTCCCAGCGGCAGATTTCTTGACGATCTGGTTTTCCGTTTGGGAGGAGGAAGTGAAATTCTGTAATATTTGAAACAAGACAACAGCTTCAATACCTCCGTACGAGAGGAGCTTATCATCAGTATGGCCACGCTTGCAAGCGTTGGGCAAGCAAGCTGTTTCACGTCTGGCCACGTTCGGTAAATACTAAGGCACATGTCCCCAGTACAAATGAACGAGGTATGGCCATCCTAGCCCAGTTATTTGAAGGTACATTCCACTTACCGGCAAGACGGAACGAGCCGACGAGCAACTCTCAAAAGAGTGAATCTCAGGTCTACTCGGAGTGCAGCACTGCTGGAGCGGGTGACTGAAAGCCAGGGATTGTCTGCTGCGCATGGGCCATAAGTCTCCCTGGCAGGAATTGCGACGTTAGGCATTTCAGTACTATAAGGGTGTGCCTTATATATTTAGCTGGCGCGATTCGAATATTAAGGTTGGGTGAGGAAATCTACGAGTACTAGCGTATAGCTGAGAACGCTATGAGTATGAGTAGAGATCGGTCCCTTGGGAGCAGTACAGCTGTGGAGGCCTCTTAGGCCTCGGCTGCAATGCCCACAAAGTGTCTTTCACCAGTAATACACTTCTAGGAGAGGAGACTGGGCAAAATGCACATCAATCATTCTTTCAAGCTTATTAATGATTTGACGATAGCAAGAACAAGCCTGTCAACACGACCATGATTATGGCCCTGGTGTTGATTGTTGGAAGCTGTAGATTTTTCCAACGCGGACTCACTGTGACAGGCGGAAGACATTTAAGAAAATGTGACCAAAATGGAAAGGGTACCGTTTCTCCTTGAAGCAGATCAAGGTACCATCGCCCAAGCTTGGATGCTTCGATAGCATCATACTGTGTTTTGGCATTGTGATGACGGTAAGTTTTGATATAACTATAGGTGATAATAATGTCTGCTCATTGTTTACTATGTGAAGGAATTCTCAGACCATTCTCAAACATCATCAAGTAGTATCCTGTCAACCGAGAAATCATGGAACTACGCTTCTTTGTTTTATTCAGCAACAGAAATGCTCACTTCAGTACTGTTGCGAAGAATTGATTGCCAGAAGTTTGTCGTGGTATCACTTGGGTATCCGGAACTAGAACAAAACATTTCTAAATGCGCTCTCTCAGCCTCCAGAACAAGCTAATTCAAATCTCAAGGCTATGGCTGCACCTGCCTCCTATTCAATTCTACAAAACTGTCTCACCCACAAACTCTTGGTTCCTGTCAGCAGTAGGTGCTTGCACATTCGCGGCACCCGCACCAGCAGCGGACGTCGTTGGTTGATTGCATTCTGCTAGAATAACAGAGCCCTTCAAGCTTGAAATGCCAGCTTCCTGTACCACCACTGGGGAATGCACCGGAATCATTGGTTTGTTGCATTCTGTTAATCTGACACAATCCTTTGATGTCGGAGTGCTGTCCGCAGGCAGAATCGATGTTGGCACCACTGGTGCAGGTATCACAGACGATATGGAAACGTGGGTGCAATGTGGAACAACTTCCGAAGGTGGTACAGAAACGTTGACAGGTACCTTACTCCAGCCGACCCCTTGCTGTGGCGGCGGGGAAGTACCAAATGCAAAGAATAGCACAGCCAAGCTCAAGACAGCAATGACCACGTTGCGCCTGTCTTGCGCAAGAAGGCTGACGTAACTGATAAAGAGGTGCCGGAGCTCGATAGTTGGAGGCGGGACGTGATGTTGATAATGAAGCTGCGATCGAACGGCCTCCTGATGAGCATCATTATGAGAACCGCTTGCTTCGAAAAGGCCGTCGATCTTCTCTTGTGGATCATGCTTGGATGTGCCATATACCTCTCTCCTCCGTCTCTCCGCGTCAGAAGGCTCGTACCCATTCACAACTTCTGCTTCCGGTTCATGGTCAAATCCTAGACGTAAGCATCTTTCTTCCACCTCTCTTCTTATATCTTGTGGTAAGCTCACACTAACTTCCACATCGACCTTTTCCATCTCATTCCAGGCAGCAGACCAGGCTCCGGCTCGCATCAGTCCATTCGCAGCATATACCTTGACCTCCCATTCTCGATCTCGTGTAGTGTTTTCCACTACTCTCCTCCCACAATCTTGACATTTAGTGCCCTGTCTGGCTGTTTCGGTGTCGCTCTCACTTTCTTCAACCACATCAACGTCTTCATTTCCGAAAAAGTGCCCTGACCTTACTCGTGGTTCCGCGAGCTCCAGGCTCTCCAACAGCCTTTCCTCCAGAAGCTCATAATCAGCCTTAGGGTGCGGAATCAGCACGCCTCTGCCCTGAATCTCAATATCATTCGTGATCTTGTCGCATAGTAGTTTCCACCGCTGCCAATATTCCTCTGGTAAAACAGCCTGCATCAATACTGCATCGGAGATTCTTGCCTGTATGGGCATAGTAGGAGGTAAAAGGGAGCAGTGAAGTAATACCAAAGGAAACTCCTTTTTCACCTTGGCATTTTTGGGTGACAGCAAGCTCTCCGCATCGCTACGTCGTTTGGTCTGAGATATTGAGCCAGGGGATCTTGCTGACATTGTAGACATGTTTCTTGATATCCGAGAGGTTCTTTTACCATGGTGCGAGATGGCATCGTCCTCATCTCGCATCTGTATGCTACGTACAGAGCTTGGATTGCGGAATGGTGATTGCCGCCATCTTCTCCCATTCGCTTCATCACTAGGACTACCAATACTCAAATCTTGAAGCTTGGGCTTCTTCGTTGGGGAAAAAGTTGCGTTTGGAGCCACAGACGCAGGGAAGGAGCTGATCGAGGAGCGGCTTGAGGCAGTCTCGGCATTACGCCGTAGATTATCCTCTTCGGTGAACTCATTGTTTTCTTCAGTGGCCGAGGAATCGTCCTGCGTTCTGGGCGAGATATTGTAATTGTGGTGGGAATACTGGACAGCTGGGTCGTTTGCTGAAGATAGGTGGGACGGCCGGTCGGTCGTAGCGCAGGTGGAATGCGGAGCAGTCACTGATTGTGAGTGAGGAGAGTGGAATGTAGCCATTGCAAGGTGTGGCGCTTTGAGTAATGCCAGCGTCTGGTGGTCGATCCAGAGTCCTGCTTTTTCGTCTGTCTTATCCTAACCACCAAACTGCCTGGCGCAATCCAAACCTTCAAGTTCAATTCCCCAAGAACGCGCCAAGAAGAGGATGTAAACATTGGATGACTAACTCAAACCCAACTAGCAACTCGTACTACTAGTGGTGTAGTACCACGGTACCAGGTAGAAGTATTATTAGCATCGCGCTAGTATCTTTACTGTAAAAAGGAGCCAAAAATGAGACAGCTAAGCTCTAAGAAGCTAAATGGTACTGTTGTGGCCAATGATTGAATGATAAACGCCTAAGAAGGCTTTTGGACTTCGATGTAGCGCAGTATCCGAACTGGTTGCTACTAACGGTGCCAACAATACTTCTGCCCGGTACCGTAGTAGTAGTAGCAACGCTGTGTGCAAGTATACATGTATTACTTGCAGGGCTTGAAAACCACTACATCTGCTCCAGCTGCCAAGATGCCAAAAGTGACGGGCGCGGGAAGTCGCAGGAAGTCGCAGGAGGTTGGAACTCTCACAGCTCATTATCAAAATTCAATCGTCAACTGTTCCTCTGTTTTCCTCCCCCCCTTGCCTCCATACTGGCGTGGAATTGGAATCTTATTGGAAAATACTGCACTGTATACTCTCCGAGCTGCCCATCAGATGCAATCCGCCCTCTGCGCTTCAAGGGTCCGACTTGCGGACTTCGGTATATTTAGATCAGCAGATTATCGTGGCGAAAGAGTTGAACACCGAACAGTAGAAGCTAAATCTCTGCCTAGTGATACACCATTTCACTGTGCGATTTGTTTGCTTGAGCAGCAGAGAGCAGGAGAGGCGAATACTCTGTATACCAGCGGGAAGCCAACCCAGCAAGTGTTGATGCATGTGTACCTGATTTTAGAGGCCGTCTCCGTTCTAATGATTGCACGATGTACAAAATATTGTGCTACGGAAGGCGCAGGCTCCTTTGGGCGGGTTGTGTCGCTTCCCAGGGTCCCAAATTTGTCCGTGGTGTTTCGCAGCTGTACTACATTGATAAGACTTTGTCCTTCTGAGGCCTATGTCATAACGCGCACTCAAATTATCCCTGGAGTTCGTCATAAGGATGAACAGCATGCTTTCTTAGTCTGGCTGTCAGAACTGTCAGAACCTCGTGGCCATAACGCCTTTTCCCAATGCATTGCATTGCATTGCATATAACCGTCGTTCACGTGACAGATTTATTCGACTTGTTTCTCACCCCATGAATGATAGCAGCCATCCGGGTTTTCGGGAAGCAATCGCGATCGAATATTGCCGGATTCAATTCCAGGCGGTTCAACACCGGAAGAAACAATGCTTCCTCTAGGTGAACCATGATCCATGATCAAAAAAGCAATACTTATGATTGGGGCCCTGTAAAATCGGACCTTGCACGTCAGCTGGAGGAACCGTTCCAAGAAGGCTATCAGAAATGCATGGCTTAACCTTTTGAAGTAAATGTCCGCTGGTGCTTTCCTATGTTATATCTTTTGTTCTGCACACTGCTCTTCTTCCACACCTTACTGCCAAGTTTCCCCTTTGGGTCGATCAAATTAAAATGACTTCTCACGGGATGTTCAAGTTCTTTGAGCGAGAAAAGGTGCAGATTATCTTGTTCGCAGAGTTCCTGCTGTGCGGTTTAGTCTTAGTATTGCGGAGTTTCTCACGAAGTGTCCTCAGCGTCAGTCCCTTGGTGGTGGCTGGTTGGATATGGAACAGTCGACAGCTCATGCCAGAGGGGACACACTCGCTTCCAAGACCATAGAGTGAGTTCCTTTCTCTTTTACTAACGAGATGGCTAAAGAAGAGCTTTCAAGCCTCCCCATTATTGGACATGATATCGATATGAAAAAGAGCTGGTTCAAGTTCAAAGAATGGGGTGACCAGTACGGACCCATCTATCAGACTACCATGATGGGTCAAACCCATGTTTGGATCTCAAGCAACGAGATAGTAGCCGAATTACTCTCTAGAAGAGGCGCTATCTGCTCTGATCGACGTGGGATTTCATACATGCCAGGAACGAAAGATGGGGTCGAGTATCTCTCGTTTCTCAAATACGGCGGTCACTATTCCCCAGGCTATCGTTGGCTCTCACAACTGACCGCCAATAGGCATTTGGCGACCGCAACGAATGTCTGGGCACACCATGTTGCAAGCTGGCTATCACGGCCACATATTGTCTGAAACACACCGCTTTCTCGCTACTATTCTACATGATTTGCCTGATTACGAGCGTCTCATCGACCGCTACCTAGGACGCATCATCTGTCTACTTAGGTGGGATACCCCAGATCCAGTCATCCCCGTGGCAGAAAATGCGCGCACTTTCATGTACAGTCTGTCGCGCGCTGGACCACTAGCAAACGCACTCCCAATATTGATGTGGTTACAGGAATGGATCGTGAGGTTGAAGCAGATGGAACGCCGCAGACATACCGAGGAGGAGAAACTCTTCACAGCATTGCTCGAACGCGCGCGGCTCGGGATACGGAAGCTGGACGAGGCACACCGTGCTACACGAGCACCCTGATTGAGAAACTTCCAGAGTTTGCGAAACGCGAAGCGGCACATTCGGTTGGCATGATGGCCAATGTAGCAATCTTGACCACCGGCTCTCCATTGAGGGCTTTTCTCTTGGCCATAGTCTTACATCCACAGTGGCACATTGCAATGCGAGCAGAGATCGACTCTACAGTAGGCGAAGAGGATAGATTGGTAGGGTTAGATGATGCATCGAAGTTGCCACTCCTCAGGGCGGTCATCAAGGAATGCTTTCGTTAGTGTCCCGCCATACCTACCGGTGAATGACCCCTACCTCGCACTGCGGAAGACTTCTTCCTCGTCGGAGCTCCTCGTCCTGACTAGCTCTCATATGATTTCTAACTGTGAACAGGCATACCTCACGAACTTGAGAAGGATGACGTATGGAATGGCTACTTGATTCCTCAAGGTGCCTACATCCACGCCGTCGAATGGTTTGTTCCCCGCACCTATTGAAGTAGTGGAACTGACTGCTGACTTGTACAGGTCTCTTGCCCGTGATCCTGCTGTCTATCCAGATCCTGATACGTTTAATCCGCGGCGATATCTTGATCCAGTCATCCAACCTACCACGAGCCACTAACTGAATATCCCACCATACGAGGTTATCATGGCTTTGGCTTCGGACGCCGGATCTGCCCGGGCCAGGAATGGGCGGAAGCGGACCTTTTAGTCGCTTGTGCTGCGATTGCCTGGGCCTTCAAGTTGGAGAAGAAACGGCTACCTTCTGGCGGAGAAGTCCCGATTAATGATTATGATTTCACGAACACTCTTATCACCACCGCGAAACCATTCGAAATGGAGTTTGTCGTAAGGTCAGACAAGCATGCCCAACTTATGCTTGATAGATATCAGCGAGTGGCTTCGGAAGAGCAGCATGCAGCTGCATAGCAGGTGCGGATCAGCCCAAGCGGATGTGTGTTTGTGGGTCCTACTACTTACTAGTTAGTTAGTACTTAGCAGAAAGAGGCCCTCTTAAAATAATGCTAGGGGAGCCATCAAAGTGCGCTTAGATTAGGCCTAACCATAAGATTATTTAAAGAGTACAGAGATATGCGGCTTAATTGTCTGTGATCCAATGAAATCTTACTATCTACAACGTATTTTCCTGAAAATATAATTACAATATGGTCAAAATATGCTTCTCTTATTATATTAGTATGGTGGTCATTTAACAAAGTAGCTGTTATTTCTACTAACGGCACTTAGCTCATATCTTTAGCTACCCCTTCTCATGGTAAGTACTAGTACTATGGTGGGCTGGTTCCGCTGCCAAGGCTAACACTACGTAGTAAATACTAAGTTAGTAGTAAGTAGTGTACTACTACGTACGCAGTACTCAGTACTTATACAATAATATTCTCCTGAAAGTTTTATACACTTTGGTAGCTTGCCCGTGGATGAGGATGCGTGCAATGCTTGATATGGGTAATTGAGGATCCGACTAATTCTCAGCCGTCGCTCAAGGTTGTCATGCATGAAATCGTGTCTCTTCAATTTGGTCAAAGAAGCAACTATCTTGCCACGCATTTCTGGAACATTCAAGTCGTCATCATACCAAGCTTGTCTTGCTGTCAATACTGATGTAGCACAGGAGTCTTATTTCACCTATTCGGAGAACGAGCAGCCTGCAGTTGACCACGATGTGCACTTCCGAGGTGGCCTTGGGGCTGATGGTTCAGAGACATTTACTCCTCGCACAGTGATCTACGACCTCAAAGGTGGGTTTGGATCACTCCGGAAGTACAATGCACTCTATGAGCTCTCCGAGGAGGTCCCACCCGCCAATGATTTGTGGTGAGAGAACTCTTATCCAACCGAGACCAAAGCAGGAAACATGACTGGGGTTAGGCAGGGCAAAACGTCGACGCAGCAGCAGCCCCCCATCGAACCTACTGACTATCAAAAGAACCTCGACCAGGGCCTGCCAACTTCTCAGTTGACAGCAGTCGATGTTAGATATTGGTCTGATTTCAACCGTGTGTTCTATCATCCGAGATCGATTGTTCAGCTGAATGAGTATGACCTCAATTCACAGCTGATGCCCTTTGAAAGTTGGAACGCTGGCCAGGATCTCTTCAATGATCTGGACAAAGAGTCTGACCTGCTCGACCGCGACATGCGTCCGTTTGCAGAAGAATGTGATCAGCTAGCAGGCATCCAGATCTTCACTGGCGTTGATGATGCATGGGGAGGCTTTGCATCCAGTTATATTGACCTCCTTCGGGACGAATACGGCAAGACTAGCATCTGGCTTTGGGGTTTGGAGGATGGGATGCCAGTGAGCCGGGTAATGTTCACGTTGAAATCATGTTGGGCACTTCACTCATGCCGAGGCAGCAAGCTGAGACCCGTCGGAATGCAAATGGGGCAAGGACGCTCCAAGCAACAGCAGCACAAGTCTCAGCTTATATTCGGCTTTCAAGCCCTCCCACCAGCATTCCTGGATATATCCAGCTGGATCGATCTTCTGAATGGGCAAAATCGGCTCTGCTGTGCACAGCGGTAGAATCGATGACATTACCGACTCGGTTGAGGGATGGTAGTGGTCGCAGCACTACGCTGGCCGAGCTTGAGGGCATTCTAAACAACACTAGGTCGCGCACTCTCTTTGATCTTAAAGCGGGTGTCGTCACGGGAAAGACGCCACATCTGGCCGGGAACAAGGCATCTCGCGCGCCGTCGTTGCTTACCACGACATTCGACCTAGAGTATTCTCCACGAACGAGTCAGATTACTACTTTGGGGCGAACGCCGCATGTTTTCAGTCGGGCTGAGATCTGGCGCTGCATGCCTCGCTCGCAGATGCCCATTCTAGCAGGTGGAGCGGACCAAGACGCCGTTGTAGAAATGTGAGAGCCCCCTCTGTGATACCTCCCCTTTAGTGCAACTGCGTGAACTCTTTCATTTGACTGCGAGCGATGCCTCCTCCGTCACCCATGTGTCCCAGAGAGAGACTGCCATGGTGGACTTGGCATCGCGGCTCCCACATGCTTTTACTGGACTACTTAGAACTTAGAGCTGACTCTTCCCCTCCATTCTAGCTACCACGTCAATGTGCCTTTTCCTCAACTAGATACCTTCCCGGATACACTATTTGGCGGCAGTTCCGACCTAGAGCTTGGAATTGGCGCGGCGCTGGTGGCCAGCTCCGAGACCAGTACTCGGCTCAAAGACATGGGTCGCATGATCAGCAGAAGGATTGACGTGGACACCCGAGAAGCACTTCTCAATGATCTTGCGGATCTAGGAGCCGCATATGAGGAAGGCTGGCAGAACAGCTCAGATTCTGGCAGCGACCAATGACTCTTTGCCAACGTCTCTGCCGCAATGCCCAACAGCTCGAGTTGTCCGGCTTCTCGGCGATTGAACTGTGAAGAAAACGCCTTCGTCATAGAGGACCAGGGCCAGGGCCTGTAGCCTCTAGGCTATAATTGCTGATTTCACAGATAGGCAGTACTGTGCGTTCCAAAAGTGCTGCGAAAATCCTCAGCTACCCAAAATCTGCTGCTGCAGCTCAACAACTTATACTGAATTCTTCATTATGCAGTAAGATGTTCTGAAATCTATACTATTCAGTAGCTATAGCCTAGAAGATCTTGATCCAGGCTGATTTCTTAAGTTTCAAAAGTCTTTAGATAGTAGATTATGCTTATACCATTTTGTATGTAGATTATTAATCTCTTGAGAAAGAATCTTAAAATCTACACCAAAAGAATCAGATAAAGCTTAATTAGATTTTACTATAGGGTTTACATAATTTATATATCTATATAAATCGTAAAAGCTGTTTGTAGTTGTGGATTGAGCAGCAGCAGCAAATTTGAGGCGCTAAGGATTCGCAACACTTATGGAATGCACAGTAGTACTCCGTACTATCCTAATATTACATTTACATTAAATCTTACGTAGTAGACTGGTGCTACAGGCGGAAGCGCGTGGAGGCTGGGGGCCATGCACGATTTGTTCACGCAGTGCGGGGGGGACAGGGTCCCGCGGTCCCGAGGGCCAGCTGTCCTTCTCCCGGCATAGCCCCTCCCCTCCGGCCCCAGCCTTAACTACTATGTAGTAGACAATTTCCTTTCCTCAAACCCTCGCGCGGGGAAACTGCCGCATCCGAATATCGAGCTTTGGCTCCGCCAGTCCTCCATAAAGCGATTCTCAACCAAAGTGATGGCTCCCCTGCTCAATGATAAGGCATCAATGGGGGCTGACGTCCCAAAGGGTACAGTCACAACAAGGTATCTGCCAACATATTCCGTATCGGCATCGCAGGAGAAATCCTGCTCAAATTGGGCTCTGGCCATCAACAAATATCCTCAGCACATCGGTTCCGGTAAGCACCGTAAGTATAGCGAACTCCCATTGGCACTGTTTCGGTCCTCGTTCTCGATGCAGAAGACCCATGGCGAGAGAATAGCTGTCACATGCGGAGCTGAGTCGAACAAGGATGAGAAAGCCATGGCTGTCGCACAACGCCAACCACCCAACAAAGGCTGCTTCCAGCTCATCACAGTCAGAATAATACTACTACGTACATAATGCTGGATAAGGAACGATTTGTGCTGCAACCAGCGTCAACAACGAATGAGAGATAAGCTGGGGCTGGTATCGCCCCGCAAACACCATCAAGAAGCGTATGCATCTAAAAATGCATGTCTCGGATGCAAGTGCGAGAAGGCTATGTTACTATGGCTACTCTGTACTTAGCTTTCCATCAGCGGAAATTGTGGGGAAAGATTCTTCCCTAGGTCCAATCTTCCCGTCTGCCCATGTTACTCGACGAGCTAAGTACTAAGCAGGACAGATCACTCGGACGCAGTCGATGATGTGACCTGTGAGACACCACTCCATTATTCCGTACTTCCTCTTTCTCTTCTCGACAAGGATGGCCTTGCCTCGTTACATCAATCCTGCTCACCAGGCGCGCTGATTCTTGCCTGATCTTGCTTGTTCGACATTAATGCTGACCATGGCTGATGATGTCCCAACCATTCGTATTCAAGTGCTATGCAAAGCAAGAGAGTTGGCTACCACCACTACCACCATCACCACCTCGGACAGACCAACCCCTCGTTGAATCCTGTCTCAATTTCAAGCTGCAGCGGCGTCCATCCAGGAATCTGTGCACACAATGCAGCTTCGTTTCAAATGATGTCGAGCTCCCGCGATCACAATGCAGCTTTTGTTCCGGTGGCTGGGCATCCGGACTTCCTCTGTTCGTATTGACTATTGAGTGCATTGCAGACAGACAGGACGGTCTGAGCCATTTTTTGTCGCCGCAGCAGGCCTCCCCTCCCAGCCAGCTTGCCTCGTCGTCGGCCGAAAGAAGTGCCCTGAGATGTCATCATTGTACCTCGCCTTTTATGTCAGAGCGCCAGGGTACCACTTCCACACTCGTGGTAGGGAGGACAGCTTCTTATGGTATGATTCTGGGCAGAGGTGTCCAAGTGCCACTACAGCAGCCATTAGACTTTCCTAGGCTGCGATCATTGGCCGACATCAGGCTAGCCTACTCATCTACTACTACGTAGTATGTACTTCACCAAAGTCAGAGCTGCAACCGACCTTGGTCGAATGCACTACTGCAACAATGTATGCTCGTACGACAACGGTGGGTAATTGGGTCGGCCCTGCCATTCAACTTGTTCCCAGCCGTCTGCAACGTCGATCACAATAAGACTGTGCTACTATGGACTTGTGCATCTCGGTTACCTTGGAAATGGGCAAGATGAGGTAATAATGTTGTCTCGCCAGGATACAAAAAGCAGCCACCTGATCCATAGGCTATATAGGTGCTGCTTGACCCCGATGTCCTATCAGGTAGAAGCTTCTGCTTGAGCTCTCTACAACACTCTCGTTTGGACTTCACCAGTCCTTCAAGCGTTTTTGCATACTACAATCGTATAGCATCTAGCATCATGAAGACTTCACTCGTTCTGCTGGCTGTTGCCAGTCTTGCATTCGCTGGGCCTGTTCTGAGGAGGGACGACCACTCGAGTGACTACGGATATCCTACTCCCGAAACCCATCCCGCTCCTCCAGAGCCAACAGAAGAGCCTGAAGGTTATCATCCGCCGCCTGAAACACACTCACTGCCTGAGACCACCGAGGATCCCAAGCCATCGGAGAGCTACCCTCCTCCGCCGCCGGAAACACACCCGCCGCCTGAGACCACCGAGGAGCCCAAGCCATCAGAGAGCTACCCTCCTCATCCCCCACCGACGTCTTCTACCTCGTATGAGACAAGTGAAACACATCCTCCCCCAAAGACGACGGAAAAGCCACCAAAGACGACAGAGAAGCCGCCTCCAGAAACCACCACGGAGAAGCCCCCTCCAGAGACCACAACAACAACAAAAAAGCTACCCCCAGATACCACCACAGAGAAGCCACCTCCAGAGACCACAACAACAACTAAAAAGCTACCTCCGGAGACGACAACAGAGAAGCCGCCCCCAGAAACTACCACAGAGAAGCCACCTCCAGAGACAACAACAACAACAAAAAAGCCACCTCCAGAGACGACAACTGAGAAGCTCCCCCCAGAGACAACGACGGAGAAGCCGCCCCCAGAGACGACGACAACAACAAAGAAGTCACCTCCAGAGACAACAATAACAACAAAAAAGCTAACAACAGAGAAGACAACAACAGAGAAGCTACCTCCAGAGACAACAACAACAACAACAACAAAAAAGCTAACGACAGAGAAGACAAACAGAGAAGACGACGGAGAAGACAACAGAGAAGCCGCCTCCAGAGACAACGACAAAGAAGACAACAGAGAAGACGACGGAGAAGACAACAGAGAAGCCGCCTCCAGAGACAACGACAAAGAAGACAACAGAGAAGACAACAGAGAAGACAACAGAGAAGCCGCCTCCAGAGACAACGACAAAGAAGACAACAGAGAAGACGACGGAGAAGACAACAGAGAAGCCGCCTCCACAGACGACGACAGAGAAGACGACGGAGAAGACGACGGAGAAGCCGCCTCCGCAGACGACGACGGAGAAGACGACAGAGAAGACGACGGAGAAGACAACAGAGAAGCCGCCTCCAGAGACAACGACAAAGAAGACAACAGAGAAGACGACGGAGAAGACAACAGAGAAGCCGCCTCCAGAGACAACGACAAAGAAGACAACAGAGAAGACGACGGAGAAGACAACAGAGAAGCCGCCTCCACAGACCACAACAGAGAAGACGACGGAGAAGACAACAGAGAGGCCGCCTCCACAGACCACAACAGAGAAACCACCTCCAGAGACGACGACAGAGAAGACAACAGAAAAGCCGCCTCCACAGACCACAACAGAGAAGCCACCTCCGGAGACCACAACAGAGAAGCCACCTCCAGAGACGCACCCTACACCACCACCTACCTCTGAGAAACCACCTCCGTCTCCAGAGACCCATCCTACGCCGTCACCTACTTCGGAGAAACCTGTCTCTCCGCCTGCGCCGGTGGAGACGCATCCTACACCATCTCCACCATCTTCAACCTACGGTCCGGTAGCACCACCTGCATCGTCAGCTGAGACCACCCTTGTACCTTCGGCTCCAGCTAGCTCGGCCACGACATCAGCACCAGCTCAATATACCGGCGCAGCGGTAAGTAACAGGCCCGCTGTTGCTCTGGTGGGCGGGGTGATTGCCCTCATGGTGCTGGCATAGCGAGCTGTGTTTATTGACCGATGATAATGTTCACGGCTACACGCTGTCAGAAGTATGACGTTTTATTGTACCATTCCAAAACATCAGCCACTTGGGCATGTAGATATACCACTAATATAAGTCTCTGTCCATATGTGGATAGAGCATCCAATCCTTTGAACAGGCTCAGTCAAATCAATGGCAATGGCAATGGCATGGCAATGGCAATAGGACATGATAATAGTGATCTAATTTAGCATAGCATCAATAATACAAGATACATACTTTCAGCCCAGCTGTCACTGCTCCCAATGATTTCTTGCTCTCGGTGAGCTCTGGCAGCCCTCCAGCCCTGATTCTCGCTTACTACGTTACTACGGGGGCCTTGAAGTAATGTTAGTCTAGTGCTAAGAGCAGTTAGTTCTTAATACGACAACGTAATTTTATTATTCGTCACTTTGAAGCTTTGTTCTATCTGCATCTGTTCTGATTAGTTAGATTATTACATCTAGCTTCTTTTGAGCATAGCTTCTCTGTACTGAGAGGATATACAAGTAAAGATACTAGCGCTGAGCTAACATTACTTCAGGCCCGGAGCTAGGTGACGGAAATAATGAGACTTCCGTCCCACACCACTCTATTACTTCTATCTTCAAAATGGTATAGGAAGACCATTTCGCTCGTTTACGGCAGCTACTCTTTTGGGCATCGTAGCAATTGCCTTATTGATCTCCTCCAGAGTGATTTTATCCCACTCCTCCTCAATTGCTCGCCGCAGCTCCTCCGGATCAGTAATAAGGCCTCGATTCTTCAGTCTCTGCTTCAACAACCTCCAGATGCTCTCTATAGGGTTCAAATCAGGCGATTCTGGGCAATTAGCTTCCCATTGGATCCCTAAACGAGCTTTGGCTTTTTTGACTTTGTTGTCGGCCTTGCCACGAGTGCCATGAGCATTATCGTTATCCTCTAGAAGTATCTAATCCTTATCCTAATTAAGAGCGATAACTTCTTCTAAAAAAACGAGATAATCAGCTTGAGTAAGCTGTCCACCTCCTCCTGCGCCTGTGTAGAAGTGTAGGGGACTCTTGTAATTCCATCTAATGTACGCAAATACATGCCAAATTTAATTAGGCTGTTTCAATCAAAAATGGATCTTTGAAGAAGCATTTCGTGCTTCTGTGCCACAGCGACGATGTACTATAGCTTGTCATTGCAAGCCACATGCAAAATGGCACTCATCGCTGTATTTGTACTGCTTAAATTTCTCTAAATTCTAATGCCGACGTTCAAATCCCTATATTTGGCGTATCTTGATATTTTTAGAATGGATGTATTTTTTCTGCTGCGCTCTATAGGTGCCTACTCCAAATTGAGCCATGTTTCTTTGAATTACGCGTTCAGATCCTTGAGCCAGGCCAATTGAGCTTGCTATGGCATAATGAGAGGCAGATGCAGCACGAAATGAGCTATCTTCAACTGTCTCAATAGCCTCGCATTGATGAGGCTCCAAAACAGGTTTTCGACCGCGATTATAGACGTTATTGCTGCAGCGCGTAGATTGTGATTTGAGGATTCGATAGCCTGTTGCTTTTGGTATACCGAGTGATTCGAATAGCTTTTTTCGAGGTAATTTGCCAGCTGTAGCCTGCGCGGCGCAAAGAAGTCGCGTACGCAGTAGAGTATCGACTATTGTATGTAGCCTGCATAGAGGCTCTGTAGGTATTGAAATTGACGAATCAGGCTATTGATAGTTTTTTCAAGTAGTTTTGCGAATTCTAGCTATTTTTTAGCTGATTTGAATAATAATTAGTGGAATAATAAAAGATAAAAAAAAAGGGGTTGTTTTAAGGATATACCCTGTACCGGTAGTACCTAGTTACTACCTAAGTGTGGGTAAGCGGGGAGAAAAGGTTACAAGTGTCCTCTATCAACTCCAATTCGCACTCGGGTTCTTGTATCAAATATCATCTGGCAAGCTGGCTTCAGGAAAACAACACGGTGTCTCGATTGGAGTTTTTCGTGTTTTCGTGTTTCGCGTTTCCGTTACTGTTGCCATTGCCGTGTTGTGGCCCTTCTGACTCAGGTGCAGGCAGCTTTTCCTACCATGCCTCGCAACATTCCATTTTACTTGCGGTCTTGTTCATGATTTAAAGGACAAGCTTGACAGTATGGCGCCTCCTGGTCGCCGACGTGTCCCTCCGACTCACACCCTCCTGCCCTTTCTCCTTCTCTGTGTCCTATTCTCGAGTGCCTCTGCCGCTTCCGCTGTCCTGGGTATCGACCTGGGCACCGAGTACATCAAAGCTGCTCTTGTCAAGCCCGGAATTCCCCTCGAGATCGTTCTTACCAAAGATTCCAAGCGCAAAGAAGCTGCAACCCTTGCGTTCAAGCCCTCAAGATTACAAGCAACAGACCCAGAAGCGCTGCCCGAACGGTTGTATGGTGGCGACGCCATTGCACTGGCTGGCAGATTCCCAGGAGATGTATACCCCAACCTCAAAACCTTGTTGGGTGTCGACGTTGGCTCGGAATGGGCACAAGAGTATCAAAGAAGATATCCGGGGTTGAGCGTTGAGTCCATGGTCCGGAACGAGACCTTGAAACAGGCCACGGTTGCTTTCAAGAGTCAGGTTTTCGAAAAGACGGAACCTCCGTTCATGCTCGAAGAACTACTGGCCATGGAGCTCAAAAACATTAAGGCCAATGCCGATGTGACTGCGGGACAGGGCGCGGATATCACGGATGTTGTGTTGACGGTTCCAGCATTCTACACTGCGGAAGAGAAACGAGCACTGGAACTGGCTGCCGATCTGGCCGGCCTGAGGGTGCTTGGGCTAATAAGCGATGGGTTGGCGGTTGGCGTCAACTACGCGACCAGCAGAACATTTCCCAGCATCAGCGATGGAGCAGCGCCGGAGTATCATCTTGTCTACGATATGGGAGCAGGGTCGACTACCGCCACTCTTCTGAGATTTCAGGGCAGGACCGTCAAAGACATCGGAAAGCGCAATAAGACTATACAAGAAGTCCAGGTCGTGAGTTCCAATTGGAAGAAAGACCTTGGAGGGGACGCCTGGAATCAACTGATCGTTGATGACATGGTTGCGAGCTTCGTGGACACACCGAAAATGAAAGCATTAGACGTCATGCCTATCCATGTTTGGAAGAACGCGAAGACAATTGCAAGACTCTGGAAAGAAGCTGAGCGGATGCGACAAGTCCTGAGCGCTAACTCTCAGACTTCAGCAACGTTGGAAGGATTGTTCTTTGAGGATGTTAACTTCAAGTATCAACTGTCGAGAGCTGAGTTTGAAGAGCTGGCTATATTCCAGGCCTCGCAGGTAAGCGTTCCGCTGGTGCACACTCTGGAGGCAGCTGGCATCAGCGTTCAGCAGCTGAATTCCGTGATCTTGCACGGCGGCGCTGTACGTACCCCTTTCGTCCAGAAACATCTCGAGGCAGTTGCCGGGGGTCCCAGCAAGATCAGGACAAATGTCAACGCCGATGAGGCGGCGGTCCTAGGGGCAGCTTTCAAAGCAGCTGGCCTCAGCCCCAGCTTCCGTGTCAAGGACATTCGGGCAGATGATACCTCTGGATTTGACGTGCATCTTCGCTGGACAAGCGATGGGAAAGAGAGAGCGCAAAAAGTATTCACACGAAAGTCGCTCATTGGGCCGGAGAAGCAAGTTCCATTCAAAACTCAGGAGGACTTCCATCTGGACCTAACTCAAATGGTTGACGAAAGAGAGATCCCAGTTTTGGAAGTCAGCGTCAGCAACTTGACCGCCTCCGCTGCCCAGTTGAAGGACAAATATGCTTGCACGAGCGCCAACATGAGCACAAAATTGACAATGCGCCTCAGTCCACTTGATGGTCTGCCTGAAGTACTATCCGGTAGTGTTAGCTGTGAAGTTGAAGCCACAAAGGAAGGGGGCGTGATGGATAATGTCAAAGGTCTATTCGGATTTGGGTCCAAGAAGGCTGAAGATCAAGAACCACTTCAGGAGGACGACTCTGCAGACGCCGACACTACATCAGCTACCCTATCCACCGATGAAGAGACATCGACTTCGCCATCAGCCTCCACATCCACCACAGATAAAGCGACAAAACCATCATCAAGTATAGTAGTGATTCCTCTCTCCCTCACCACGCGTCCACTCGGCCTCAATCTCCCAATCCCTGTCGACCAGTTGACCCGCATCCGTACTCGTCTGGCAAAACTTGATGCCTCGGATCTTGCACGCTCCCGCCGCGCTGAAGCTCTAAACACGCTCGAATCCTTCACCTACCGCGCCCGCGACTACATTACAGACCCTACCTTCATTACACATTCTACCCAAGAAATCCGCGACACGCTCGAGCAGAAACTGAATGAAGCAAGCGAGTGGCTTTACGGCGATGGTGTCGACGCCAAGCTCCGGGACTTCCAAGATCGATTAAAAGAATTGAAGGGCATCGTCGAACCAGTCCTGAAGCGAAGAGAAGAAGCCTCTAAGCGAGCAGGGACGATTGAAAAATTAAACGAAAGCCTCGATCAGATGAAGGGTATGATCAAAATGGTGGAGAGTAGTGTAGAAAAAGCGGCCGAGGATGCGAAGCAGAGTGCCGAGACCGAAGCAGCCGCAGCCGCCGCCGCCGCCTCTGCAGCTTCTGAAACAGAGTCTTCGGCATCGAGTGAGAAAAATAGAGATGCGGAAGCTGAGGGCGATGACGAGCTCGACGACGATCCCTACTCAACCACAAGCACCAGCACCGCGTCTACTCCCGAATCATCCGAGACAAACGACCCGTCCGTCATCTCCCCCTACAACGCAGCCGATCTCTCCAGCCTCCAATCCTCCTACGATACCGTCTCCAGATGGCTAGAAGAAAAGCTGTCGGCGCAGAGTCAGCTGGGAGACCACGATGACCCGGTGGTATTGGTTCGGGAATTGGAACAGAAGACAGGGGAACTGCAGAGGGTGATCAGGGACGTCGTGGTTAAGAATATCAGGATCCCCGCACAGAGGAAGGGCAAGGGTCCCAAGGCCGGAGGAGCGGGAGCAGGGAAGAAGAGTAAAGCGAAGAAGGGAAAGCAGGGAAAGAGTGCGAGCGCGAGTGCGAGTGCCACTAGGGATGTGGATGATGGAGCGGAAACAGCGACATCGACATCGACTCCGACTTCTTCGTCCGCCACTGCAAGCTCCGCGTCGGGTAGCAGCCACAGCAGAGACGAGCTGTGATGCTTGATGCGCGATGCGTGATCCCCTTGCTTTGGTTCCTTACTCAGCGCATAACTTAGATTAGACTGACCTTCCTGCCATCCAATCCAATCCCATCCCTTTGATCCATCTGATCCCTTTACTCTCACTCTCGCCATCACCTCCTGCTTGCCCTGTTTGCCCCACTTTGTTCCTTCCTTCCCTCCTTCCCTACTTAGTCTTGATTGAGCTTAAGCTTAAGCCTACCGTCCACAGTACCATGTGCGGGCTGTGCCATCCGTGCCACGCTGTATCATGCTTAAGCGGATGCCGGGACGCAGCTGAAGTAATAGCGCAAGTCAGGTAGATGATCCAGGTATAGACAGCGGAGGGGGTGCAGGGGCTGTGAAAGTACGGGGTGTTTTGCGAGTCGCGCAGGCGGAGCTTATGGGGATGGGATG